AAGTTTAGTTTTGTAGCTAAATGTTGAAAACAACAGACAGTAATAAAAAGTTATATAAAGTTATTTAAATAAATTCGCTTTTTCCAAATTAGTTCCTTTAAATGATTACCCTTTTCAATTTAGACACATCATTTTACATTGAATAATGCACCAACCTTGCACGAGTCTATAGTACTGCTTTTCTTGTTCTCTATGTATTTGAGAAGATTCTGTGAGATTTCGTGTGATTCATATTCATCATCTAATTTCTCCGCAATCCAACGGCCCACGTCTAGTTCATCACAAAGACCAACTCTACGTAGCATTGCTTTCCCTTCGTCAGAACTAAGTTTGGAATCATTGTCAAGAGCAAACACAGCCAGTTTAAAGTCGCGTTGATGACCGCTTTCTGGTAATCCAATTTTAGTCTTGATGCACTGAATAAAAACAGACAGTGGTAGTTTAAGGGGTCGAACTGTGGTCATTTGTGTGATAAATAGTCACTACAAACCAAGGTGTTGTGAGAAATTCACGATTGTAACTTTCATTGTATTCTGCGTACTTATGTTCTCTTAATCGAAGTGAAGGTAAAAACCGTAAAATTAAAACTTCGGTCGAACAATGCTAAGGTAGAATTCCGCCTTAGGTCCAGTGTGTATTTTTCTTGAGTGCATTACATTAAGACATTTTGTAAAAAGTAAGGTTGTGATCAAAAATTACTGTAGATCTTTCATAAATATATCTTATGCAAACCATACTTCCAATTGACTCTCCACTCTGGCTTTTATTGTCTCCATGCCACAATCACCTCCTTTCCCCATTAATTCAGCAAAGAGTCTATCAGCAGATGTTAGACAAATAAGAACGGGAACATTTTCTTTCTCAAGTATGGAAAGCCATTTTTTCGTTGATTCTGTATGGACTTTCCTAAAACGGCGAGACTTTCATATACTGACATAGAATGCTTGCAAGCTCTTACTGCCTTCAGTACTTCAGATAAATTTTTTTTACAAAATGTCGATTTCAAGAGTAGGTAAGTTGAAAAAAGGTGTACATAATATCATTCGTCACCAGGAGGCTTTTTATCAGCTTATTAATTCTATGAATCAAACATGTGTTGAGAAGACATCTTATATGACGGGAATCAAAACAATTTACGGAAATATTTTTGGTTGAAAAAAGTATTTCAAAAAAAGCTTCGTCACCTGTAATCGACAACAAATACGACGATCCGAGTCAAACAAAACAGCAATTCAGCAATTTTCGGAATTGACTCATCACGATCATCAACACCAGGAAAATCAATGACATCCAAACCTTTGATGTATTCATCCAAGTTATAAATCAAAGGAATTGTGGTACGTCTTTCATTTAAACGTTATGTTAGACTACTATTTCAAAGTAGTCTAACATAACGTTTAAGCTGCTTTCTCCCATAGCATAAAAAAGACTTTCAATTGGCACCACTGATACAGCGTTCTTAAAAAAGTCCTGGATGGATTTCATTCTGACAGATCTATCAGCGTCATGACGTTTTTCCAACAGAGCACTGAGATACGCCAATTCAATTATCTCGCTGGGACGATGCTTTGCAAGTTGCTGTTGCCTTTTTGTGACTGTGTACGTCTAAAAAGCAATTGTGAATTAAAATATAAAGTTAAAAATTGTTTTTTAGGAAATCAGCATAACCTTTTTTTACTAACCGTGGTTTTTGCTTTAACCTGGAATGCAGGGAGATGTTTGCTGCGTTGAAAATGCGTTCTCAAACGAACGTTAACTTGATCTTCGTGGCAAATGCTCTTTACTTTGATTGTTGTCTGAATTTCTGATCCAGAAGATTTCATAACGTCTACAGGTAGATTCCTTCCAGGAAATTCGACATTCTCCATGGATAACTGATACACGAACCACATCTCATTCCCAAATACTTTGATGATGACCTCCTCGCCGATATTTTCGAAGCGAACGCCAGTCACTTCGGGGATAATTTTATTTGATGCTGTGGCCCATTTCGTATTTTCTTTGAATGGCTTGAGATCAAGAAGAGTTTGAAGCAAAGCCAGCTCAACCTCGTGGGTATATCTCTCAAAACTATGCTGAGAATATAAATGTGATACAAATATAAAAATAACAATATGACAATTCCCATTCCCCCATGCCATTGAGTGGTAAATCTTACATTTTACCTCTTCCAGCCTCTTGTGAAGTTCTTTAGTGCTTACAAAATATTCTCCAAGTTCTCGAAGAGCTTTGAAAGCTTGGACATCTTCTGACAGAAGCTTACAATTGGACACATTACTATGTCCACAAAACAAACTGTTTGTGTCAGAGCATACCAATAAAAACAAATAAATACTAGTTATTTTTCAAATTATTTTAAAGAAACCTAGTAATGAGACCAGGTTTTCTCAATGATAAGTGCTACTTTTTTAAATTGCCTGGACTTTATAAGATTCATGTACTCACCTGTAAATGCATGGGAATCCAATTAAAGCCTTGCATTTACTTTTACTCAAACATTGGACAATTTTGGCAACATGCATGAGACTAGCATTTTCTTCAGCGCCAGTTAAAAAAATAATGTGGCAGATTTATATCTAAACAAAAATATATCAATAAAATACAAACATCAGTATCAGGACTTTTGATAACAATGTTCTGAAATGGTGTTGCATGAGATGCATGTAATAACACTTGTGTATCAGCCTGTTCATGGTCACAACAAAGGTCATCAATCCTTTGAACACTCCTTTGGGTTTGAAGGAAATGCAAGGCTACAACTGGATTCCATGGTGAGTAGAAATATTTCGTCGAAATCACATTTTTAACCTCTTCGTCAGGTTAAATGAATAGAAAACATATTTTAAAGGGACAACACAAAATTTCACACACCTGCCCAAATGGTTTGCATGACCAGGCAAGAAAACGTTTGCCTTGTTGAAATGAAAATCATTAAGTTTTAAAAAAATTCTCGCAAATAATGCGGAGGTTATATTCCCAGTAATCCACTTTTGCATACTTTGCGCCTATCAGACAATGAATATAGATTGGCAAAAGATATAGATGGGCATTTTAGTTAGTAGTTAGTACTACTTACTATAAGTCCTGTTAATTTGTGTATGACATTGCATTAACAGGATACATTGCACTAAATCTACCTTTTGTATAAAATTGATAATTCGTTGGAGATTTAAGTTATTTGGGAAATGTGAAAACAACTAAATGTAGCTATATTGAAGACGAGAAATATGATGTTGGGGCACGAGGAATTCCAATGGGCAATTCATTCACAGACTTAAGTATCTTTAATGTACTTTCTTTCTGTGCGCTTGCTGTTGTTATATGTACTCAAGGAATGCCTCCATCGATCCTAATTTCAGTGAATCGATGTTTAAAAACAGATAAATAAAATAATTTATGACATTTTGTTTCAAATCAAGGAATTTTGGATACAACTTTTGTGCAAAAAGTTCTGTGCGAAAAGTTTTAAAGTTTTGGTTCAAAAAAATGCTTTGACCTCCACCTTGTTCAACTGAATTTTTGTCACCATTGTGTTCCCTTTGTTGTAAAGTGTCAATGGTTTAAAACTCAAGGCATTCGTGCAAAACTTTGCATTCAAGGAAAGCGAAGGATATTTGATATGTTCCAACGGTTCATTATGCAATGCAAAATGAACAAATTTAAATTAGACGTGTATCAGCTAGACAAATAGAAACGTGCGTTCTCTGCTAAAGAAAAGCTTTCTTTTCATTAAAATATAATTTAGATACAGAATTTTCAAATCATAAACACTTTGAATAAGTTTCGATGGATGAGTGTGCTCTCACGTATCAACACTTCTGTTTCAATGAAAACATCGTCATCTTATTATATTGGAACAATAACACGTGAGTCAAATTCATTTACATAGCTAAGTCTTTCTGAAAAGAGTACTATAGTTGTAAATTGTAAATTCAACGCATGTTTTTGCAACAAAGATTGTTAGAGGTTACAGATGCTCGATTGTTTGATAAAAATCTTCATGAATTGATTTCATTTTCTAAAAATTTAAAATGTACAATTTTTCGGTCAACTAATCATAAAAAATTATAATTGGTAGAAAGCAATTAATTTCAAATGAGCCTAATGCATGAATTAGTATATATGATTGCAAATCAATATATGAATGTTGGCCGACACAATTATCTAGGCCACATTGTAACCCGTCTACCTATAGATATGACATGTTCATTTATCTCGTAGTCAACATGAAATGACGTGCAACCTGTGTTAAATGATAGGTTTATAATATGTTCATACTCACTCCTTTTCTTTTGCTTTCTTCCCACTTTTTCCTCGTTTTTTAGTCTTTATCGTTTCTTTGTTTTGCTTTAAAAATAAAGGTACTTTCTAAGAAAAACAAATTTTAATAAAAAATGTAATTTTTTTTGGTATGATTGAATTATAGTTAAGCTAACTTACCAGACATGGATGTAAAGTGCTGCTTTCTTTGTTCTCGATGTATTTTAAAAAAGTCTGTGAGAGATCATGTAGCTCGTACTGATCCTCCAATTTCTCTGCGATCCAACGACCCACGTCAAGTTCATCACAAAGACCAACTTTACGCAGCTTTGCTTTCCACTTCTCAGAATTGAGGTAGGAATCGTAGTCAAAGGACAACACTGACAGTTTAAAATCACGTTGATTACTGCTTTCTGGCAATCCGATTTTCTTTTTGAATGTCTAAATATAAATAAATGTCCACATCAAGTAAACATCTTCAATTTAACCGGATATTCGCTACATTTCGCAAAGTTAAAATAAGAGTGAGTACTTGCACTCAAAAATCTACGTGTGATTTGTAAAAGAAAAGCGTCAACATATAATAGTTTAGCTTAAAGACCATTTAAAGGAAAATGCAAGCAAATAAATGGACGAAACGTTTATATTACATAGTAAACAACAAAGAACTTATCTAGTACTTTCACTTCATTTTCCACGCCCGCTTTTATCGTGTCAACGTCACAATTTCCCTTTTCAACCATTAATTCAACAAAAAGTCTGTCACCAAATGTTAAACAAACAAGAACAGGTACGTTTTCTTTCTCGAGTATGGAAAGCCATTGTTTTGATGACTCGGAATGAGCTTTTCTAAGATGAAACCAAACAATAAGATTGGTCAATCAAATAAAAAAATTGTTTACACCAAACATTTTTAAGCCACGTTACCTGTAGTCAACAACAAATACAACAATCCGAGTCAAACTTAACAACAATTTTGCCAACTCAGGAATTGTCTCATCACCATCATCAACACCAGGAAAATCAATGACATCTAAACCTTTAAAGTGCTCATCCAAGTTGTAAATCAACGGAACGGTGGTTCGCTTTTGATCTGTGGTGTCAGACGCCGTCTAAAACACGCGTATAATTGTTAAGCCGTTTTCTTTACTAAGACAAACGTAATGGAACTATTAGTATAGGTAATAGTATAGTTTCCAGTGCAATGATGTATAAACATGCACGAGTGTGTTTTTAAAAACTGCAGCGAAATAGGGCGAGTCCAAAGGACGAGTGCTACTTGAGGTCTTTTAAAAACTAACGAGTGTATGTTTAGCCGTAATTGTACGAGAAACTATACTATTACTTAATAACAAGATAATTTCAGATATTTCTTGACTGTACCGTCCAACTCTGTCTCGATCGCTTCATAAATGCCTCGTTACGCGGCATAACTGTTAAAAACATTCATTAAAAAAAACAGTGCTTGCTGTTTTATTTCTATTCTTTGCATTCTTTTGTAGCTAATTCTTGAGATTCAAATGATCGCAGTTGTGGAAATCTATGTTTACTTACAACTCCTGCCATGTTTTTTTTTAATTGAAAAGAATTTTCTTTTTTGGCTTTCACTGCTTTTCAGCTAATCAGTTTACGAAATTTACAGTGCAACTACACATTTTCACAGTCGAAGTACAGATTAACTGCACTGCAATGAAACAATCACAGTCGAGTAATATATCAAAGTATATTATTTTAACCACAAACGACTAATAAAACCTATATGAAACTAATGTCGCTTAATTAAAGCTCTAAAAAGTATCAAAGCATCGATACATATGCACAATAGCACAACAACACTAGCCATTTTTTAATGACCCAATCACACACAAAGATAGTTGAACAAACGAGATAAAATGGATAGATGTTGACCTCAACAACAGTGCTTACCATTACTTCAAACATTGAGCTAACAAGTTTTGATTTTCCAGAGTTTATCAGTCCAACAACACCAATAGAAGTTTGACTGGCTAACGTCTCCCGAAGTTTATTAATCATCAAAGACCATTTATCCAGCGAGCAACCAGTGGGCGATATTCATTTGGTACAAACGTTAAATTTTCGTTCTCAAAATTAGCGTTCCATTGTTGAAGAATACTTTCTATTAATGTGTAATGAAATATGTTCCTTTTACTACACTGACGCTCCATCTGGCGTTCGAGAGTGTAACTGATACACTTCTGATTGCAAGTAACCCCTTGTTTCATGCTACCAACAAGAAATTCTAACTTCTCATCGTAGTCAGGAAACTGATACCTTTCGACAGAGGAAATAAACTGGCTAACATCATTAATGCGACGAGTGAATTTTATCAAAAGCTGTTCAAACTCTTCAGATGATTTCATCATACGCCCCAAATAGTTGAAAGGCATTATCAGCAGTCCTCAAACGGATAATCGAAATGAATTAGCATGTTTGGCCAACTCATTCACATCACTATCATTACCAGGTTTTTCGAGAGGAATCTGCACTTGAGATTGCATGAAAGCGCTAAGCAAGCTGCTACAGGTTTTGAATTTACTCCGTAAAATATTTAAAGTAACCAGCATCTTACTGTTCATGGAAGAAGAAGAAACTCCAAAAGAAAGTGATGATGCATCTGATGTTATTTCTTCGCTTAACTCTTCATTGATTTTTTCCCCTTCAATCAGCAAAGTTATTGGCGATCTAATACACCTGTTTGTTTTTTCTTTGTCTTGGCACTCAGAAGATGGAAAAAGCACCTTAAGATCAGTTTGACAGAGAAGCACTCGTTTCCTTGCAAACTTTCTTTTGAGGCGTTGTTCTTGTCTTTGAGTTATAGAATAAGTCTAAAATTAAATTATTTAATGAAGAGGATTAATTGTGTAATCATTTGTCAAGAGATGAAGACACACACACTCTGGGGTGAAATTTCAACCAAGAAGTTATTTCATATGGACCAACACAATATGGTAAAGTTGACCAACGCTATCCTGGTTAAATTGATCAACCAGTATTCCTTGTTAAATTAAAGCAATTTTAACTTTTTCTACCTTATTAAGTATGTGCTTCGCGATTTTGAATTTTTCTTCAACCAGTATCCTGCTTAAGTGATTCTGAAATTACCAGGATTTCAACCACAACCCTGGTCAATTTCGATTTATCTTATTTTAGGTTCGAATTCATTCAACATAAATTTTTGACCAGGATACTTTTATAGCCCGTGCAAATTACTTGACAATTCATGATTTTCACGTACCGTTGTCTTTGCTAGAGCAGTAAATGACTCAAGATACTTGGACTTTTCGAAATGTGTCTTCATCCGAACACAAACGTTTTCTTCGTAGGTGATGCTCTTTTTCTTTATTCTTGTTTGAACTTGAGAACCAGTCGATCTAACGAAGTCCACAGGCAAATTTTTACCATCAAAATCAACTGTTGTGACAGACGTCTGGTGTACGAACCACATGTCGTTACCAGATACCTTAATGATAACCTCTTCACGGATATTTTCGAAATGAACAACAGATATTTTTGGAATGATTTCATTGGCGTCGATAGTATTGTTGCTTGTCCGTTTGTAACAGGCTAGGTCAGGTAGCTGATCTCTGACAAAAGCCAGTTCAACTTCGTGCACGTACCTTTTAAGGCTATGCTGTCGAAAAAGGAAATTTAAAATTTTCATTAATGCACTTAAAAGGGCTTGAAGAAATCAAGCCATGACGAGCTGTATTGCTGATTAATTGATTATATTCCTCATGAAACTTTCTAATTGCAAGTGCAGGGATGAGTTTGTTATGTTGAATTGCAGCATATTGATAAATCATATGCCCAAATAAGCGGCTTAAACATTATCATCAACATACGTTACATTAAATTAAAGATACGTAACTTACGTTAATAACATATTGCCGATGTATGCTCAGAATGCTATCGTAATTGCAGATAGTTAAGTGATCTTTAGCCTCTGATGCAGTCAAAACCTTAAACTTCGATCCATTGGACTTTTTTTCAAGGATATAATAAATTCCAAAAATACTCAAGCGATCGAAGCCAGTTAAATTTCTCAGAACAGGCTTGCACGCTTTGCTTCCTCAACAATCATTTTAAAAAACTTTTTAACATCGGAAAAAGGGTCCTAAAAAATACAAAAAATTCAAGTAGTTGGATGAATTTTACATACACTATTACATGCAAATAATGTTCCGAGCAAGCGAAACTGAACATTAAAAAGACAAGTCTAAAGATCGGCAATGCATTTTGAAAAATTTCCAAACAGTTAGAGACGTATTGAGTGTTGAAAATATTTGGGTAAATGGGGTACACTCCTAACTCCTATTTGTTGATGAAATTGTGTCTAACATAAAGTTTTTGAGTCAAACCGAAGAACTGAGTTTACGTTGAACTGCAGCTAGCTATATATAAAATTTTTGTGTTGCTTTTCTCACTGTTGTTACAAATAGAATCGTATAAATAATATGAATCAAATTGCTTATTTGCAAAAATTCAAATTCTCAAAATTGTTTTCTTTAGATATAATGATGCTTATTTGCAAAGAAACATTTGCGGAGTTTGAGTGAATGCGTAAATGCGCAACTTGTATGAGCAAAAAGTAGCCATTGGGCATTTTCTTCAAAAACTGAAAATTGTTTGGAAATAAAATCATGAGATATTACCTCTAATATAAAAATATTTTCGACAAGAGGAAATGCTTTTATATCTCACATCCCTTTTGACTTGGTAACAGAAATACTTTTAAAAATGGTAAAAAAGATTGTTGACAGAGGTAGTAAAATAAATCAAATTAGAAACCTAAATGCCGTTTCACTGAGCTCAACGGCCAACTGCTTTTACTGCAGATCTCTAACCATATAGCAGTCCTCTAGAAATGGAAATGATCATTTATACCTTCGACATCATAAAGTTTTTTTATTGTTTTTACAGGGGTGTACAAAAAAAGGGATGTAAAATTATCGTCATAGGTTGGTATATAGCTTGTCATTCTCAGAAAAATGTTATAGAAATGAAGGCTTACTTTTAAAAAATATATGAAACAAAAATGTAATGTTGAGCAACTGTATCACTTTAATCACGCAATTAATAATAATCCGGGTATTTCATGGTAAAACACAATCGCTATATGCGCGTATCCTTCTGTAAAAATACAGTTGAATAAAAGGTCTATGAATTCATAGCTGGTGAAATAATCTCTAGTGTTTAATCTTAAGAGAAGTGTGCCTACTACAAACATTTTATTATTTTTGCAATAAAATTTTCTTATAAGCTTTCGTTTCTAAAGATTATGCACATATCAAAGCTTTGACATAAATGTCTAGCCCACTAAATTTTTTTATTTTGATTATATTTTACATAACCCACAATAATGAATTTCCCTAAAAAGTCTCGTTAGCTTCGCCCTAAAAGATATATTCTTAGAATGGCAAATATTGGTTATTGCAACGTATGGATTTTTTAAAATATTGATTAACTCTAAAAAATTTTTTCATCATGATGTTTTGTTTGATGTTTCTATCTAAATTTTTTCATCATGATGTTTTGTTTGATGTTTCTAACATTATTTGATTCCTCTAAAATGAGACTTTTCCTGAGTTTTTCAATAATAAACGTCAAATCCAAGGAAGTTGGATTAACCTAATCACTCACTTACCAGGAATTGAAGCAAGACTTTGATTTGAGGGTTAAAGTTTATAGAAAACTTGACCTGAATATAGACGACTTATGTTTGTTATTGTGATAGCAATTTGGAAAAACTTACATCAAGTGTATCAATAGACTCTTGGATGACACTCTCAACAAAATCCCATAACATATTCTGTAAAGAAAATGCAATTAGCTATTATTTTTTGCAGGTCAAAAAATTTATATGATATACATGAATTGCTCGTTATCATTTGCAGACATGCACTTACAATGCAAGTATTTTATTAAAAAAAATGCACATAATTTGATATGCAGGCACAAAAAACAATCAATAAGTTTCTGGGCTATTCTTTAAACTAATCAATCATAGATGAGAAAAAAAAGTTAAAAAAGTCATACCTCAAGTTGAGTACCATTAAAAGTGCCAAATAGTTTTGGAATAACATCATCAGCTTGGACAATGTTAAAGAAACAATCCTTTGCTCTGGGTATTGACTCCACATATCGTGTTAAATTACTGTCAACCACAGGCAATAAGCCAAACGTGAGACATTTAAAACAAGATTTTAGATATGATTCATCTTGCAGTTTGAATTCTTCCAGTAAAAAAATCAATACTAAAGATGCAATTGCTCCACCACTGGAATGTCCTATAAATGACAGAATAAAAAAACATTTACACATAATATATAAAAAAGTCAAGATTAGCGCTAACCCCAAATTCAATGGCAAACCAAAAGCTCAATCTCCCACTAAAGGGCAGGTTATGGAGTTAAGAAAGCCATTGCCCATTAGCCATAGTTGGACTTGCTAAATTTACAAGAGTTTGGGGCTTCGAGCCCGAAAGAAATAAAGCAAGATGAATAATAGCTTGATGCAAAAATTACATAAAGTACAACAAAAGTGGGAAACAACTGTAGGAAAATGACAAAGCATAGTTATTAATACAAAGTGACATAAAGTATATGATTTAAATGAATGCAAGGATATTGAGTTCAAAAGTAAAAATGAAGAAAAGGAGAGAGAAAAGACTATGAATTTTGAAAAAAATCTGAATTACGATACACCAAAACAGGCAGTCCCACTATGCTACAAATTCTTTGGATGTAAGAAAAACAATCAGATACAAATCAAGAAGTCTTAAAGACTAGAGAGTTAAGAAAGAAATGGAGAGTTTAAGAAAAAAATACTTTAAGAATTTTTTGAGCAAAAATTGGATTAGAATGGTGAGAACAAGGATAGCTATAAAAAAGCAGACACCTAAAAACAGGAGAATACATGTTATTAGGATGTAAATATAAGATAAAGTATACATCAAGACATGACAAAGCTTTTCAAATATTGGTAGAGCTGGGGTTATAATCATCAATTACAATTAATTAAGAAAATAATGATCATTGATAATTCAGGTAATGGATGGGCTTTCAAAAACATAAAGTAATAGAATAATGATAGCAAGTGTATTGTGATAGCTATCAACTATAAATAGGTCATACTAAGCCAAACCTATAGAGAATCTGATCAAATTGTCAAGAAATGATTTAAGTTGTTGGTGTGTCTGTGCAACTAACAAAAGTTATTTTGAATTTCAAATCTCAATTTTTACCTGAAAAAATGATCCGTTTCTTTTGAAAAAATGCTCTGACGAAATACTTCAAAGGGATTTTCTCAGCTTTTTTTTTCACATCTTAAAACATGTTTTTTAAGAAAAATTTTTCAAAATTTCTCTAGATTATTACAAGTACAATATATAGACAAGATTTAATGTTTTGATCAAAATCAGCAGCAACCATTAGGCAAGTTAGACAAATAACAATGTCAGGAACGAAATTAGAAACATCCATTATGTTTTTCATCAAATCACCCATCTGATTACACTTAGCATCGCTCATAAAGAAAATATTTAGCTTATACTTTATGACTTTATGTCTGGGCATAAACCCTACAACCGTTCACTATAAAATCAATTTATGTGATCAAAAGCAATGCATGGTTTACACGTTTATTCTAACTCCTGCATAAACGACAATTAATTCAAAGCAAAACATGAAAGCGCCTGGGTACAAGGCTGCTACAGGTGTACATGAAACAATGTAATCGGGATTTTTATTCAAATCTTCTTTTGTTCTTTTTCATGCAATGAAACATGACACCTTTCATGCGTTTCAAATTTCTAAACCATTTCTAAACACTCACGCCTCACTTCACTTCGCAAAACATTATACTTTGATATCTGAAGGCAAATTTTCATAATTACTTCACTCTCAAAGTTACGACCGATCAGTTGGCCACTACAGCCATTCCTGCACACTTCTACACTTACATGAATAAATTTCACCTCTATAGTTAGTTTCCAAGCGGGGCCATGTGTAAGATTGTAGTCTCTTGAAGCTCACATAGATAACATTACCACACTCTGCCATCACATATTTAGGAACGTCCTCGTTTTCATAAGAAACATAAACATTGCTAAGTAAATGTTTTTTCTCTATTTCTTCAAGGTTGTTCATTCTGTATTCGGGGTCTTTACAGCTGTACGCAAGTTGACAACACAGCAACGAATGGTGAATGTGAATTTCATCGAACAGCTTTGTTGTAGATATCCACTCTTCCAGATGAGATTTAGGCTTCTTTTCAGGCTTGTGCTCCATTTCTAGCGTATTCTTTAAACTGATAATCTTTTTTCCAATCTGCTCCTTGATTTCGTCGCGAGAAAACCTCAGGTATGATGAATGTGGATAGCATCAAACAGGTCTGTTTCAGAAATCATGACTTCGAGGTCAGATTGGGGTTTTGGTTCTTTGCATGTTTTCTCAAGTGTCTTCAAAGCTGAAATCTTTTTATTGAGCTCATCCTTGATTTCGTCGCAAGAAAACTTGAATAATTCATCGTCAAGAAGAGACTCGTCAAGTTTAATAAATAAATACCAGTAAACTCGACATTTGAATAAATGGAATGGCCGAAACAAGCGAAGAAAACGGTTCCGAACAGGAGAGTGAGTAGAGCGACTTGTTCTCGTCGGAGGATGAAATACATGCTGAATTTGAGAGAGCAATTACTTGTCTCCTTCGAGCTCTAAGTTGGTGTAAGTGTGGACATTGTACTTTGTCGAAAAAGGCAATCGAGTGTTTTTGTTGCCACGAAAAGCGCTTGAATACGATGAGTACGAGGCTTTGCTAGGCCAAATAAAACTCAAGGAGAGTATTGCTTGACAACACACCAAGAATTTAGGGACAATATTCTGTCAGAAAGTTTGTTAAAGATAGACGTGTGTCGGTATCTTGAAGAAAATTGGCCCCTGTCTGATGAGGATCTGGAGAGAATATACGAGCTGTATCGATTAGTCGCATATCAAAGATGTTCTAGGTGGATTTTTCAAATTTGGGGGAATAAACATCGAAGACCATTTCCTGCTTGTATTGATGCTAGCATACGAAAACGCTTCGCGTCACCAGACGGACTTTATACACATTTTTAATACGCCAAAATATCTAAACAGTAATATTTTATTTTATTTTTTAATAAATTTATGTTTGAACTCTACTCTCGATTGATACACTTCGCCTCTCTACATTTGCATTTATTTTGACATAACAATCCCAATGCACTGCAATCACACGTTGAGGTGGCACATTTTCCTTTACATTTACAAATATTTGTGTGAGGTCTGCTCCCTTGTGAACTTTCGGGTAGAGCTGGTGTACTATATCTTGCTTTTTTGTTGGCTTCAATTTGCTCATTTGAGGGTCTTTCCTTTCCTGCCAAATACTGTTCGACAAGGGATTGTGGTTCAGGAGGTAGCATCATATCTGCATGTGCTTTGGCCTTCTTCAAAGTCGAGTACTGGCTTCTTAGTTTTACAACTTCATTCAATATTAACTGCACATATCCTAAATGGGATTATTATATATTATTTTTAGAGAAACTATGACTAAAATGTTTTAGCCTTTTGATTATACTACTATTTTTTTATATCATGAAATTTTCTTGCTTTATTTGTTATTGAATGATATCATTCCTACCATAGGTGGGTTTTTCCTTCTAAGGTTTTGCCACAGCTTTTTCTTTTTTGAAAGATTTTGGATAGGTAATTGCCCATCTCAAGTTTCCATCTGCAGTTTTGCTTGTGGTCTGTTGCTGTTCTCATTGTGGTGCAAGTTTGAACAGTACAGTCTATCTTGATACAGAAGTTGAAAATCCCAATTTTTGATAACTTTCTTCAATATTGAAATGTCCATATTTTATCCTCTTTAAGATATTTTAATTGCATTGCAAATTTTAAGTTGATTTTTGAATAACATACCTTGCACTCAATGAGTGATATGAATGATGAGTATTCTTTGAGGCAAGCATATTATCCAAAGCATGTTTGGCTTCTAAGCCTGATGTCTGGTGATACTTGGATAACTTTTGAATTTCTGCAATTAGTCAAGGCCTTGTCAACATCTCCTCTAATTTTTTGTTAGCAGCTGACCCTGTTGTATAGATGAGTAAAAAAAATTTTGAGGCATGAATTAAACTTCTAAATTGTAGTCCATACTATCTACTCAACCTTTCTTGAGCCAAGCTCTACAATTGTTTCATGAAGGCATTTTGTAAATAGCTTGTGACCATTATGCTCATGAATATTAGCAATGTGATTGAGAATACTGCGCCACCTTTCTTCCCTCTCATCTGGAGTTTCACTTGAGTTGCCAACCCAATATAAATGGTTGATAATTGACTGTTCAGTTAATGAAAAAATGTATATATATATATATATACAATATGTATCACAATGTGCCCTCCAGGCCATCGTCATAGTGCAATGACAATTCCTGCAGGAACACATACATGCTATACATTTACATGCATGACATGCATACCCCAATCCATGGCTGAATATGTTTGAACTTCTCCTTCTTTGCCACTTTCACCAGTTTCTTTTTTTCCCCTAAAGTATATTCAAGAGTGGAAAAACTTACTTAATAACAGACTTACTTTTCAATATCATAGAAGTTTATATATTTTCGTGGCAGAGATTTTAAATTAAAAATAAACATACATAAATATATATACCTTTTGCTCACGCTGTGGTAATGGGATATTTAAATTCCCTTGCTCAAACATAGATACCAAACTGAAATATGATTCCTTGTGCTTCACATCTCAAGATGTTTGCAAATGCTCGTACCACACACTGCAAAGCGCTGAAGGAAACTTAATAACTCTTATCTTTGTATTCCTGCACCAGCAATTAATAGTCAGTGCAATAAAAAATGATCGGACGGTGACTATTTTGCAAAGGCTAGACTCAAACAGGGAAGTAATGAGAAGCCTTAATTCCAAATTCCAATGTTGATTACTTCTCCCAAATCGCAATTAAATGAATTAATCCATTGATAAGCCGTTGTCATTTCAATTCAGACACTTCGAGCAACATCGTTGTTGTCGAATGTTTGACGTCAGTCACGTTACCCGTTATTCCCTTGTTGATATTCAATAGTGCAGTTGAAACAATAGCAAACTCATTACTAACATCGTGTAAAGACTTTAAAACAATAAAAAGAACAGAAATAGACAGAAAATATACAAAAGATGTACAATAAAAGACAATAGACCCTATATTTGGAAAAAGTGGTAGGTAGGTTTTGTTAACCAGTTAAAAAATTTTCTGATATTTGTTGGTGCTGTTGTTCTATAAATATGGACAGAAAATGAATACAAAAAATACACAAAAACAGAAAAAAAGTTGGCATAATGTTAGGAAGAAATGTAGCAAGGTTTACATTTTGCCCAACTTTTTACACCCGCTATGCGAATATTTTTATGTTCACTGACCATGAGAACAACAGATTTCCAAAGAAATGAATAATGGTAATCTTTTCAGAATTTCGTTTTAGCCTTGCTAAAATGTTTGGCTTTTTAACACTATAGTGTAGAAAAAAATCACAAAAGAATGTACAAAAATAAGACAGATATGAAACACAAGTAAAGAAGAACAAGACGACAAATACACAGAAATTTAAGTAGTTCGATAATGGTTTCTTATGTTTAGTGGCAAATTTGTCAATACAGTAAATACATTTGTCGATACTATACTCTCCTGATGTTGCTAAAGAAAACTAAAACAAATGAGATTTGAATTTGACTAAATGCAAAAAGTAGCTAACTGCTAAAAAAGGATCCATATATATGGAATATAAATCAAACACGAAAGAAAATGCAAAATCAGATGTTGAGAGAGACGTTTTCGCAAGTGATTGTATGTTGTGGTAATTTGCTGGTATCTCGTCAGTTATTTCTCTGTGTAATGTAAATTTTAAAATTTAATAGAAGAACCTGTTGTGTTATGATGATGTAAATACAAACAAGAAAAAAGGAAGTAAATTTAGAGATTTATTTGACTAGACAGGTAAAATGGATCCATACTAACATGGAGAAGCTAGAATGACGAGCTTAAAAGTGAAGCATGGAAGCAAAACCAGTATGAAAACGGTTTGTATAAATATGAATTTTAAATAAAGCGCAATACCAAACACTTTGAGAAGTTCTCACTCTTTCTACGCATTCATTAAAAATACATCTTCATTGTTTTTGAATGAACATTTTCTTAATTGTTAATGTTATAATTAATTTTGATTCACAAAAATTTCTACACAAAATATGGCCAAGCTATTCTACAAAGAAAACCTCCTTGATTACACCAAAAACATTCACTAATCCTAGCTGGAGTCCTAGCTACTTAATGTTAGTGCATGGCTCAAGCACACAGTACTGCAAATGGACTGTGAAGATCCTAGCAAGAATCAAGCTCAGCTTTTCCGTTTCAACTCGCTCAAAGATCACACATTAAACTATACATAACCTGTATTAAATTAATAATTTTCCAGTAATTAGCCTCATGATGAACAAAGAAGTGGCACAATGTTATATTAACAAATATATCAACTTTTATCTTAAATATAATACATACTGCACAAAATCGGTCATTGGGGCATGGTCCATTATAAGTAATATACCGTAATAACAATTAATTTTAATGCAAACTAAGAAAGTAGAACACACATATATGAATATAGCCCCTTCCGTAATTATTAACATTGCGCTGTCCATAATTATACCCTTCATTCCTACCATTAAAATCTTTCTCTCTTTCTGAAACAGGATTTTTTCTTAAAGATTTGAAAACGCAAACCTCATAGTTCCATACTTTTTCGATAAAAAAACTGGCCCATATTCCAAATTTATGATAAATAATTACTAATTCTTTGCTGTAACAAGTCAAGAACTCGGCCAAGAACTCGTAAAACTGATGAGTGAAGAGATTGCTGTTTTTAAACGCACAAAATAAGGAAGAATTCACAACTTTTACTGTCCATAAAAGTAATAAACAATTGTTGCAACTTCTCAAAAAATGAAAGGGTCTTGAATGATTTTTCCAAAAAAAAATACAGCGCCATTGATTATTTACACAAAATATGGTCATGCATTGCCTCTTATTTAGTGAAAGTTACAAAGTAAGAAAACAACAAAACTATTTGAGATGATTATATATAACGAGTGAAATACACACAACTTGGAGGAACAAAAGTACCTTGAACAAAAATGGCGACAACTGAAAAAACATAGCTTTGAAGCCTCAACTTGTTCAATTCTTTTCATTCTTCTTTGCTATGACTTTATTTTTATGAACCAGTTTTCCTTCTTAGATACACTTAAACACGTTGTTACTTAAGATAAAAAATTGAAATTATCAATTATTAGAAAGTTTAGTTTTGTAGCTAAATGTTGAAAACAACAGACAGTAATAAAAAGTTATATAAAGTTATTTAAATAAACTCGCTTTTCCCAAGTTAGTTCCTTGAAACGATTACCCTTATCAATTTAGACACAGCATTTTAGATTGAATAATGCACCAACCTTGCACGAGTCTATAGTACTGCTTTTCTTGTTCTCTATGTATTTGAGAAGATTCTGTGAGATTTCATGTGATTCATATTCATCATCTAATTTCTCCGCAATCCAACGGCCCACGTCAAGTTCATCACAAAGACCAACTCTACGTAGCATTGCTTTCCCCTCGTCAGAATTAAGTTTGGAATCATTGCCAAGAGCAAACACAGCCAGTTTAAAGTCGCGTTGATGACCGCTTTCTGGCAATCCAATTTTAGTCTTGATGCACTGAATAAAAACAGACAGTGGTAGTTTAAGGGGTCGAACTGTGGTCATTTGTGTGATAAATAGTCACTACAAACCAAGGTGTTGTGAGAAATTCACGATTGTAACTTTCATTGTATTCTGCGTACTTATGTTCTCTTAATCAAAGTGAAGGTAAAAACCGTGAAAATAAAACTTCAATTATTTTGGTTGAAGATTTCAAATTTCGGTCGAACAATGCTAAGGTAGAATTCTGCCTTAGGTCTAGTGTATATTTTTCTTGAGTGCATTAAACTGCGACATTTTGTAAAAAGTAAGGTTGTGATCAAAAATTACTCTACATCTTTCATAAATATATCTTATGCAAACCATACTTCCAATTGACTCTCCACTCTAGCTTTTATTGTCTCCATGCCACAATCACCTCCTTTCCCCATTAATTCAGCAAAAAGTCTGTCAGCAAATGTTAAACAAATAAGAACGGGAACATTTTCTTTCTCAAGTATGGAAAGCCATTTTTTCGTTGATTCTGTATGGACTTTCCTAAAACGGCAAGACTTTCATATACTGACATAGAATGCTTGCAAGCTCTTACTGCCTTCAGTACTTAAGATAATTTTTTTTACAAAATGTCGATTTCAAGAGTAGGTAAGTTGAAAAAAAGTGTACATAATACTATTCGTCATCAGGAGGCTTTATATCAGCTTATTAATTCTATGAATGAAACATGTGATGAGAAGACACGTTATATGACGGGAATCAAAACAATATACCGAAATATTTTTGGTTGAAAAAAGTATTTCAAGAAAAGCTTCGTCACCTGTAATCGACAACAAATACGACAATCCGAGTCAAACAAAACAGCAATTCAGCAATTTTCGGAATTGACTCATCACGATCATCAACACCAGGAAAATCAATGACATCCAAACCTTTGATGTGTTCATCCAAGTTATAAATCAAAGGAATTGTGGTACGTCTTTCATCAGTTGTTCCACTCGCTGTCTAACGTAGAAAGATCAATTTTCATAGATGTTCTCAAAACAAATGTTTCAAAAGATCAATATTATGGGGGTATTTTCATGAAGCATATTTTATTTCAAAAAAAGTAACAGAAGTTCTTACCTGTACTTCAAACATGGAGCTGACAAACTTTGATTTCCCTGAATTAACCAGTCCCACAACACCGACTGCGCACTGCTTGGCTAAACTCTCTCTAAGATAATTGATCATCAATGACCATCTGATCCATCGGGCAATCAGTGGACGGTACTCATATGGCACTAGCGTCAAAGTTTCTTCCTCAAAGTTAGCATTCCATTGTTGAAGAATAATTTCAATTGGAGTGTTGTGAAAAATGTTCCTCTTCTTGCATTGGCGCTCAAGTTGCCGTTCGAGAGAATAACTGATGTAACTCTTGTTGCATGTAACTCATATGGCACTAGCGTCAAAGTTTCTTCCTCAAAGTTAGCATTCCATTGTTGAAGAATATTTTCAATTGGAGTGTTGTGAAAAATGTTCCTCTTCTTGCCTTGGCGCTCAAGTTGCCGTTCGAGAGAATAACTGATGTAACTCTTGTTGCATGTAACTCCTTTCTTCATGCTACCCACAAGAAAGTTTAACTTTTCGTCGTAGTCAGGAAACTCGAGTTCCTCGGAAGGAAATATGTACTCCCGAAAATCGTTAATGCGACGAGAGAATTCAATGACAATTTTTCCAAACCTTTCAGATGATCTTACCATTTGCTGCAAATAGTTAAACGGCACAATCAACAATGCCCACACAGATAAACCCCTTGAGTTGGCATCTTGTCTGGCAAATTCATCAACGTACTTGTCATTACCAGCTTGCTCGAGAGGGATGTGAACTTGGGATTGCATGAATTCACCAAGTAGAGCATTGCAAGTCTCAAACTCAATAAGCAAGTCATACAAAACGTTCAGCATCTCGTTATTCGCGTTACAAAAGGAGCTCTCCACATTTAGTTTTTCACCCAGTTGTTGGAGTCTTTCTTTACCATCGACTAGCAATGTGATTGGAGCTTTACTACAACGAATCTTCGTCTTGCTTTCGCCAAACTTATCCGAAGATGGATAAATCACCTGTAGGTCTGTCTCACATGCAGGAAAAGTTGTTCTTTTTGCACTTCCTCCGAATCTTGGTCGAGGAACGTCTTCATGAAGAAGAGAAACAAGGAGTGCATTAGTCTTATTCAGTAAGTACTTAATATCACCCCATCGCAACATAGGATTGGGTCGTAGTTCCGTATTTTCTTGAGCAAAGAAAATTAATCTGTTCCGTTTCCATGTGGGCGATTTGCATGAAGTCGGTGTTTTATAAAATCGATTAACGAAAAAATTGTATTTCTCTTCAAAAGATACATCGGAAGGCAATGCTTTCATGCATGAAAGTCCATGACGTATGCGACAAAAGGCGATTTTTAGTGGTTTTATTAAAAAACCAGAGATAGCCAATGTCTTTAGATCGATATTGCCTGCGGAAACTATTTCACAGCAGTCTAACATAACGTTTAAGCTGCTTTCTCCCATAGCATAAAAAAGACTTTCAATTGGCACCACTGATACAGCGTTCTTAAAAAAGTCCTGGATGGATTTCATTCTGACAGATCTATCAGCGTCATGACGTTTTTCCAACAGAGCACTGAGATACGCCAATTCAATTATCTCGCTGGGACGATGCTTTGCAAGTTGCTGTTGCCTTTTTGTGACTGTGTACGTCTAAAAAGCAATTGTGAATTAAAATATAAAGTTAAAAATTGTTTTTTAGGAAATCAGCATAACCTTTTTTTTACTAACCGTGGTTTTTGCTTTAACCTGGAATGCAGGGAGATGTTTGCTGCATTGAAAATGCGTTCTCAAACGAACGTTAACTTGATCTTCGTGGCAAATGCTCTTTACTTTGATTGTTGTCTGAATTTCTGATCCAGAAGATTTCCTAACGTCTACCAGGAAATTCGACATTCTCGATGGATAACTGATACACGAACCACATCTCATTCCCAATTACTTTGAAGATGACCTCCTCGCCAATATTTTCGAAGCGAACGCCAGTTACTTTGGGGATAATTTTATTTGATGCTGAGGCCCATTTCGTATTTTCTTTGAATGGCTTGAGATCAAGAAAACTTTGAAGCAAAGCCAGCTCAACCTCGTGGGTATATCTCTCAAAACTATGCTGAGAATATAAATGTGATACAAATATAAAAATAACAATATGACAATTCCCATTCCCCCACGCCATTGAGTGGTAAATCTTACATTTTACCTCTTCCAGCCTCTTGTGAAGTTCTTTAGTGCTTACAAAATATTCTCCAAGTTCTCGAAGAGCTTTGAAAGCTTGGACATCTTCTGACAGAAGCTTACAATTGGACACATTACTATGTCCACAAAACAAACTGTTTGTGTCAGAGCATACCAATAAAAACAAATAAATACTAGTTATTTTTCAAATTATTTTAAAGAAACCTAGTAATGAGACCAGGTTTTTTCAATGAGTAGTGCTAATTTTTTAAATTGCCTGGACTTTATAAGATTCATGTACTCACCTGTAAATGCATGGGAATCCAATTAAAGCCTTGCATTTACTTTTACTCAAACATTGGACAATTTTGGCAACATGCATGAGACTAGCATTTTCTTTAGCGCCAGTTAAAAAAATAATGTGGCAGATTTATATCTAAACAAAAATATATCAATAAAATACAAACATCAGTATCAGGACTTTTGATAACAATGTTCTGAAATGGTGTTGCATGAGATGCATGTAATAACACTTGTGTATCAGCCTGTTCATGGTCACAACACAAGTCATCAATCCTTTGAACACTCCTTTGGGTTTTAAAGAAATGCAAGGCTACAATTGGATTCCATGCATTTACAGGAGTAGAAATATTTAGTCGAAATCACATTTTTCACCTCTTCGTCAGGTTAAACGAATAAAAAACATATTTAAACGGGATAACTCAAAATTTCACACAGCTGCCCAAATGGTTTTCATGACCAGGCAGGAAAACGTTTGCCTTGTTGAAATGAAAATCATTAAATTTTAAAAAAATTCTCGCAAGTAATGCAGAGGTTATATTCCCAGTAATCCACTTTTACATACTTTGCACCTATCAGACAATGAATATAGATTGGCAAAAGATATAGATGGGCATTTTAGTTAGTAGTTAGTACTACTTAATATGAGTCCTGTTAATTTGTGTATGACATTACATTAACAGGATACATTGCACTAAATCTACCTTTTGTATAAAATTGATAATTCGTTGGAGATTTAAGTTATTTGGGAAATGTGAAAACAACTAAATGTATATTGAAGACGAGAAATATGATGTTGGGGCACGAGGAATTCCAATGGGCAATTCATTCACAGACTTAATTATCTTTAATGTACTTTCTTTCTGTGCGCTTGCTGTTGTTATACATACTCAACGAATGCCTCCATCGATCCTAATTTCAGTGAATCGATGTTTTAAAACAGATAAATAAAATAATTTATGACATTTAGTTTCAAATCAAGGAATTTTGGATACAACTTTTGTGCAAAAAGTTCTGTGCGAAAAGTTTTAAAGTTGTGGTTCAAAAAAATGCTTTGACCTCCACCTTGTTCAACTGAATTTTTGTCACCATTGTGTTCCCTTTGTTGTAAAGTGTCAATGGTTTAAAACTCAAGGCATTCGTGCAAAACTTTGCATTCAAGGAAAGCGAAGGATATTTGATATGTTCCAACGGTTCATTATGCAATGCAAAATGAACAAATTTAAATTGAAAACAAATAGAAACGTGCGTTCTCTGCTAAAGAAAAGCTTTCTTTTCATTAAAATATAATTTAGATACAGAATTTTCAAATCATAAACACTTTGAATAAGTTTCGATGGATGAGTGTGCTCTCACGTATCAACACTTCTGTTTCAATGAAAGCATCGTCATCTTATTATATTGGAACAATAACACGTGAGTCAAATTCATTTACTATGTAAAGAGTACTATAGTTGCAAATTGTAAATTAAACGCATGTTTTTGCAACAACGATTGTTAGAGGTTACAGATGCTCGATTGTTTGATAAAAAATCTTCATGAATTGATTTCATTTTCTAAAAATTTAAAATGTACAATTTTTCGGTCAACTAATCATAAAAAATTATAATTGGTAGAAAGCAATTAATTTCAAATGTACCTAATGCATGAATTAGTATATATGATTGTAAATCAATATATGAATGTTGGCCGACACAATTATCGAGGCCACATTGTAACCCGTCTACCTATAGATATGACATGTTCATTTACCTCGTAGTCAACATGAAATGACGTGCAACCTGTGTTAAATGATAGGTTTATAATATGTTCATACTCACTCCTTTTCTTTTGCTTTCTTCCCACTTTTCCTCGTTTTTTAGTCTTTATCGTTTCTTTGTTTTGCTTTAAAAATAAAGGTACTTTCTAAGAAAAACAAATTTTAATAAAAAATGTAATTTTTTTTGGTATGATTGAATTATAGTTAAGCTAACTTACCAGACATGGATGTAAAGTGCTGCTTTCTTTGTTCTCGATATATTTTAAAAAAGTCTGTGAGAGATCATGTAGCTCGTACTGATCCTCCAATTTCTCTGCGATCCAACGACCCACATCAAGTTCATCACAAAGACCAACTTTACGCAGCTTTGCTTTCCACTTCTCAGAATTGAGGTAGGAATCGTAGTCAAAGGACAACACTGACAGTTTAAAATCACGTTGATTACTGCTTTCTGGCAATCCGATTTTCTTTTTGATTGTCTAAATATAAATAAATGTCCACATCAAGTAAACATCTTCAATTTAACCGGATATTCGCTTCATTTCGCAAAGTTAAAATAAGAGTGAGTACTTGCACACAAATATGTACGTGTGATTTGTAAAAGAAAAGCGTCAACATATAATAGTTTAGCTTAAAGACCATTTAAAGGAAAACGCATGCAAATAAATGGACGAAACGTTTATATTACATAGTAAACAACAAAGAACTTATCTAGTACTTCCACTTCATTTTCCACGCCCGCTTTTATCGCGTCAATGTCACAATTTCCCTTTTCAACCATTAATTCAACAAAAAGTCTGTCACCAAATGTTAAACAAACAAGAACAGGTACGTTTTCTTTCTCGAGTATGGAAAGCCATTGTTTTGATGACTCGGAATGAGCTTTTCTAGGATAAAACCAAACAATAAGATTGGTCAATCAAATAAAAAAATTGTTCTTTGACTTAATATTTTACCAAACATTTTTAAGCCACGTTACTTGTAGTCAACAACAAATACAACAATCCGAGTCAAACTTAACAACAATTTTGCCAACTCAGGAACTGTCTCATCACCATCATCAACACCAGGAAAATCAATGACATCTAAACCTTTAAAGTGCTCATCCAAGTTGTAAATCAACGGAACGGTGGTTCGCTTCTGATCTGTGGTGTCAGACGCCGTCTAAAACACGCGTATAATTGTTAAGCCGTTTTCTTTACTAAGACAAACGTAATGGAACTATTAGTATAGGTAATAGTATAGTTTCCACTTTCCAGTGCAATGACGTATAAACATGCACGAGTGTGTTTTTAAAAACTGCAGCGAAATAGGGCGAGTCCAAAGGACGAGTGCTACTTGAGGTCTTTTAAAAACTAACCAGTGTATGTTTAGCCGTAATTGTACGAGAAACTATACTATTACTTAATAACAAGATACTTTCAGATATTTCTTGACTGTACCGTCCAACTCTATCTCGATCGCTTCATAAATGCCTCGTTACGCGGCATAGCTGTTAAAAACATTCATTAAAAAAAAAAAGTGCTTGCTGTTTTATTTCTATTCTTTGCATTCTTTTGTAGCTAATTCTTGAGTTTCAAATGATCGCAGTTGTGGAAATCTATGTTTACTTACAACTCCTGCCATGTTTATTTTTAATTGAAAAGAATTTTCTTTTTTGGCTTTCACTGCTTTTCAGCTAATCAGTTTACGAAATTTACAGTGCAACTACACATTTTCACAGTCGAAGTACAGATTAACTGCACTGCAATGAACCAATCACAGTCGAGAAATATATCAAAGTATATTATTTTAACCACAAACGACTAATAAAACCTATATGAAACTAATGTCGCTTAATTAAAGCTCTAAAAAGTATCAAAGCATCGATACATATGCACAATAGCACAACAACACTAGTCATTTTTTAATGACCCAATCACACACAAAGATAGTTGAACAAACGAGATAAAATGGATATATGTTGACCTCAACAACAGTGCTTACCATTACTTCAAACATTGAGCTAACAAGTTTTGATTTTCCAGAGTTTATCAGTCCAACAACACCAATAGAAGTTTGACTGGCTAACGTCTCCCGAAGTTTATTAATCATCAAAGACCATTTATCCAGCGAGCAACCAGTGGGCGATATTCATTTGGTACAAACGTTAAATTTTCGTTCTCAAAATTAGCGTTCCATTGTTGAAGAATACTTTCTATTGATGTGTAATGAAATATGTTCCTTTTTCTACACTGACGCTCCATCTGGCGTTCGAGAGAGTAACTGATACACTTCTGATTGCAAGTAACCCCTTGTTTCATGCTACCAACAAGAAATTCTAACTTCTCATCGTAGTCAGGAAACTGATACCTTTCGACAGAGGAAATAAACTGGCGAACATCATTAATGCGACGAGTGAATTTTATCAAAAGCTGTTCAAACTCTTCAGATGATTTCATCATACGCCCCAAATATAGTTGAAAGGCATTATCAGCAGTCCTCAAACGGATAATCGAAATGAATTAGCATGTTTGGCCAACTCATTCACATCACTATCATTACCAGCTTTTTCGAGAGGAATCTGCACTTGAGATTGCATGAAAGCGCTAAGCAAGCTGCTACAGGTTTTGAATTTACTCCGTAAAATATTTAAAGTACCCAGCATCTTACTGTTCATGGAAGAAGAAGAAACTCCAGAAGAAAGTGATGATGCATCTGATGTTAATTCTTCGCTTAACTCTTCATTGATTTTTTCCCCTTCAATCAGCAAAGTTATTGGCGATCTAATACACCTGTTTGTTTTTTCTTTGTCTTGGCACTCAGAAGATGGAAAAAGCACCTTAAGATCAGTTTGACAGAGAAGCACTCGTTTCCTTGCAAACTTTCTTTTGAGGCGTTGTTCTTGTCTTTGAGTTATAGAATAAGTCTAAAATTAAATTATTTAATGAAGAGGATTAATTGTGTAATCATTTGTCAAGAGATGAAGACACACACACTCTGGGGTGAAATTTCAACCAAAAAGTTATTTCATATGGACCAACACTATATGGTAAAGTTGACCAACGCTATTCTGGTTAAATTGATCAACCAGTATTCCTTGTTAAATTAAAGCAATTTTAACTTTTTCTACCTTATTAAGTATGTGCTTCGCGATTTTGAATTTTTCTTCAACCAGTATCCTGCTTAAGTGATTCTGAAATTACCAGGATTTCAACCACAACCCTGGTCAATTTCGATTTATCTTATTTTAGGTTCGAATTCATTCAACATATATTTTTGACCAGGATACTTTTATAGCCCGTGCAAATTACTTGACATTTTATGATTTTCACGTACCGTTGTCTTTGCTAGAGCAGTAAATGACTCAAGATACTTGGACTTTTCAAAATGTGTCTTCATCCGAACACAAACGTTTTCTTCGTAGGTGATGCTCTTTTTCTTTATTCTTGTTTGAACTTGAGAACCAGTCGATCTAACGAAGTCCACAGGCAAATTTTTACCATCAAAATCAACTGTTGTGACAGACGTCTGGTGTACGAACCACATGTCGTTACCAGATACCTTAATGATAACCTTTTTACCGATATTTTCGAAATGAACAACAGATATTTTTGGAATGATTTCATTGGCGTCGATAGTATTGTTGCTTGTCCGTTTGTAACAGGCTAGGTCAGGAAGCTGACCTCTGACAAAAGCCAGTTCAACTTCGTGCACGTACCTTTTAAGGCTATGCTGTCGAAAAAGGAAATTTAAAATTTAAAATTAATGCACTTAAAAGGGCTTGAAGAAATCAAGCCATGACGAGCTGTATTGCTGATTAATTGATTATATTCCTCATGAAACTTTCTAATTGCAAGTGCATGGATGAGTTTGTTATGTTGAATTGCAGCATATTGATAAATCATATGCCCGAATAAGCGGCTTAAACATTATCATCAACATACGTTACATTAAATTAAAGATACGTAACTTACGTTAATAACATATTGCCGATGTATGCTCAGAATACTATCGTAATTGCAGATAGTTAAGTGATCTTTAGCCTCTGATGCAGTCAAAACCTTAAACTTCGATCCATTGGACTTTTTTTCAAGAATATAATAAATTCCAAAAATACTCAAGCGATCGAAGCCAGTTAAATTTCTCAGAACAGGCTTGCACGCTTTGCTTCCTCAACAATCATTTTAAAAAACCTTTTAACATCGGAAAAAGGGTCCTAAAAATACAAAAATTCAAGTAGTTGGATGAATTTTACATACATTATGCAAATAATGTTCCGAGCAAGCGAAACTGAACATTAAAAGACAAGTCTAAAGATCGGCAATGCATTTTGAAAAATTTCCAAACAGTTAGAGACGTATTGAGTGTTGAAAATATTTGGGTAAATGGGATACACTCCTAACTCCTATTTGTTGATGAAATTGTGTCTAACATAAAGTTTTTGAGTCAAACCGAAGAACTGAGTTTACGTTGAACTGCAGCTAGCTATATATAAAATTTTTGTGTTGCTTTTCTCACTGTTGTTACAAATAGAATCGTATAAATAATATGAATCAAATTGCTTATTTGCAAAAATTCAAATTCTCAAAATTGTTTGTTTAGATATAATGATGCTTATTTGCAAAGAAACATTTGCGGAGTTTGAGTGAATGCGTAAATGCGCAACTTGTATGAGCAAAAGTAGCCATTGGGCATTTTCTTCAAAACTGAAAATTGTTTGGAAATAAAATCATGAGATATTACCTCTAATATAAAAATATTTTCGACAAGAGGAAATGCTTTTATATCTCACATCCCTTTGACTTGGTAACAGAAATACTTTTAAAATGGTAAAAAGATTGTTGACAGAGGTAGTAAAATAAATCAAATTAGAAACCTAAATGCCGTTTCACTGAGCTCAACAGCCAACTGCTTTTACTGCAGATCTCTAACCATATAGCAGTCCTCTAGAAATGGAAATGATCATTTATACCTTCGACATCATAAAGTTTTTTTTATTGTTTTACAGGGTGTACAAAATAGTAGCCTCTTATGTAAAATTATCGTCATAGGTTGGTATATAGCTTGTCATTCTCAGAAAAATGTTATAGAAATGAAGGCTTACTTTTAAAAAATATATGAAACAAAAATGTATTGTTGAGCAACTATATCACTTTAATCACGAAATTAATAATAATCCGGGTATTTCATGGTAAAACACAATCGCTATATGCGCGTATCCTTCTGTAAAAATACAGTTGAATAAAAGGTCTATGAATTCATAGCTGGTGAAATAATCTCTAGTGTTTAATCTTAAGAGAAATGTGCCTACTACAAACATTTTATTATTTTTGCAATAAAATGTTCTTATAGCTTTCGTTTCTAAAGATTATGCACAGATAAAAACTTTGACATAAATGTCTAGCCCACTAAATTTTTTTATTTTGATTAGATTTTACATAACCCACAATAATGAATTTCCCTAAAAAGTCTCGTTAGCTTCGCCCTAAAAGATATATTCTTAGAATGGCAACTATTGGTTATTGTAACGTCTGGATATTTTAAAATATTGATTAACCCTAAAAAATTTTTTCATCATGATGTTTTGTTTAATGTTTCTATCTGTTAACATTACTTGATTCCTCTAAAATGAGACGTTTCCTGAGTTTTTCAATAAAAAACGTCAAATCCAAGGAAGTTGGATTAACCTAATCACTCACTTACCAGGAATTGAAGCAAGACTTTGATTTGAGGGTTAAAGTTTATAGAAAACTTGACCTGAATATAGACGACTTATGTTTGTTATTGTGATAGCAATTTGGAAAAACTTACATCAAGTGTATCAATAGACTCTTGGATGACACTCTCAACAAAATCCCATAACAGATTCTGTAAAGACAATGCAATTAGCTATTATTTTTTGCAGGTCAACAAATTTATATTATATACATGAATTGCTCGTTATCATTAGCAGACATGCACTTACAATGCAAGTATTTTATTAAAAAAAATGCACATAATTTGATATGCAGGCACAAAAAACAATCAATAAGTTTCTGGGCTATTCTTTAAACTAATCAATTATAGATGAGAAAAAAAAGTTAAAAAAGTCATACCTCAAGTTGAGTACCATTAACAGTGCCAAATAGTTTTGGAATAACATCATCAGCTTGGACAATGTTAAAGAAACAATCTTTTGCTCCGGGTATTGACTCCACATATTGTGTTAAATTACTGTCACCCACAGGCAATAAGCCAAACGTGAGACATTTAAAACAAGATTTTAAATATGATTCATCTTGGAGTTTGAATTCTTCCAGTAAAAAGATCAACACTAAAGATGCAATTGCTCCACCACTGGAATGTCCTATAAATGACAGAATAAAAAAAACATTTGCACATAATATTTAAAAAAGTCAAGATTAGCGCTAACCCCCAAATTCAATGGCAAACCAAAAGCTCAATCTCCCACTAAAGGGCAGGATATGGAGTATAGAAAGCCATTGTCCATTAGCCATAGTTGGACTTACTAAATTTACAAGAGTTTGGGGCTTCGAGCCCGAAAGAAATAAAGCAAGATGAATAATAGCTTGATGCAAAAATTACATAAAGTACAACAAAAGTGGGAAACAACTGTGGGAAAATGACAAAGCATAGTTATTAATACAAAGTGACATAAAGTATATGATTTAAATGAATGCAAGGATATTGAGTTCAAAAGTAAAAATGAAGAAAAGGAGAGAGAAAAAACTATGAATTTTGAAAAAAATCTGAATTACGATACACCAAAACAGGCAGTCCCACTATGCTACAAATTCTTTGGATGTAAGAAAAACAATCAGATACTAACCAAGAAGTCTTAAAGACTAGAGAGTTAAGAAAGAAATGGAAAAATACTTTAAGAATTTTTTGAGCAAAAATTGGATTAGAATGGTGAGAACAAGGATAGCTATAAAAAATCAGACACCTAAAAACAGGAGAATACATGTTATTAGGATGTAAATATTAGTAAAGATAAAGCATACATCAAGACATGACAAAGCTTTTCAAATATTGGTAGAGCTGGGGTTATAATCATCAATTACAATTAATTAAGAAAATAATGATCCTTGATGATTCATGTAATGGATGGGCTTTGCAAAAACATAAAGTAATAGAATAATGATAGTGTATTGTGATAGCTATCAACTATAAATAGGCCATACTAAGCCAAACCTATAGAGAATCTGATCAAATCGTCAAGAAATGATTTAAGTGGTTGGTGTGTCTGTGCAACTAATAAAAGTTATTTTGAATTTCAAATCTCACAATTTACCTGAAAAAATGATCCGTTTCTTTTGAAAAAATGCTCTGACGAAATACCTCAAAGGGATTTTCTCAGCTTCTTTTTTCACATCTTAAAACATGTTTTTTAAGAAAAAATTTTCAAAATTTCTCTAGATTATTACAAGTACATTATATAGACAAGATTTCATGTTTTGATCAAAATCAGCAGCAACCATTAGGCAAGTTAGACAAATAACAATGTCAGGAACGAAATTAGAAACATCCATTATGTTTTTCATCAAATCACCCATCTGATTACACTTAGCATCGTTCATAAAGAAAATATTTAGCTTTTACTTTATGACTTTATGTCTGGGCATAAACCCTATGGCTGTTCACTATAAAATCAATTTATGTGATCAAAAGCAATGCATGGTTTACACGTTTATTCTCCTGCATAAACGACAATTAATTCAAAGCAAAACATCAAAGCGCCTGGGTACAAGGCTGCTACAGGTGTACATGAAACAATGTAATCGGGATTTTTATTCAAATCTTCTTTTGTTCTCTTTCATGCAATGAAACATGACACCTTTCATGCGTTTCAAATTTCTAAACCATTTCTAAACACTCACGCCTCACTTCACTTCGCAAAACATTATACTTTGATATCTGAAGGCAAATTTTCATAATTACTTCACTCTCAAAGTTACGACCGATCAGTTGGCCACTACAGCCATTCCTGCACACTTCTACACTTACATGAATAAATTTCACCTCTATAGTTAGTTTCCAAGCGGGGCCAGGTGTAAGACTGTAGTCTCTTGAAGCTCACATAGATAACATTACCACACTCTGCCATCACATATTTAGGAACGTCCTCGTTTTCATAAGAAACATAAACATTGCTAAGTAAATGTTTTTTCTCTATTTCTTCAAGGTTGTTCATTCTGTATTCGGGGTCTTTACAGCTGTACGCAAGTTGACAACACAGCAACGAATGGTGAATGTGAATTTCATCGAACAGCTTTGTTGTAGATATCCACTCTTCCAGATGAGATTTAGGCTTCTTTTCAGGCTTGTGCTCCATTTCTAGCGTATTCTTTAAACTTATAATCTTTTTTCCAATCTGCTCCTTGATTTCGTCGCGAGAAAACCTCGGGTATGATGAATGTGGATAGCATCAAACAGGTCTGTTTCAGAAATCATGACTTCGAGGTCAGATTGGGGTTTTGGTTCTTTGCATGTTTTCTCAAGTGTCTTCAAAGCTGAAATCTTTTTATTGAGCTCATCCTTGATTTCGTCGCAAGAAAACTTGAATAATTCATCGCCAAGAAGAGACTTTGTCAAGTTTATTAAATAAATACCAGTAAACTCGACATTTGAATAAATGGAATGGCCGAAACAAGCGAAGAAAACGGTTCCGAACAGGAGAGTGAGCAGAGCGACTTGTTCTCGTCGGAGGATGAAATACATGCTGAATTTGAGAGAGCAAATACTTGGCTCCTTCGAGCTCTAAGTTGCTGTAAGTGTGGACATTGTACTTTGTCGAAAAAGGCAATCGAGTGTTTTTTGTTGCCACGAAAAAGCGCTTGAATACGATGAGTACGAGGCTTTGCTAGGCCAAATAAAAACTCAAGGAGAGTATTGCTTGACAACACACCAAGAATTTAGGGACAATATTCTGTCAGAAAGTTTGTTAAAGATAGACGTGTGTCGGTATCTTGAAGAAAATTGGCCCCTGTCTGATGAGGATCTGGAGAGAATATACGAGCTGTATCGATTAGTCGCATATCAAAGATGTTCTAGGTGGATTTTTCAAATTTGGGGGAATAAACATCGAAGACCATTTCCTGCTTGTATTGATGCTAGCATACGAAAACGCTTCGCGTCACCAGACGGACTTTATACACATTTTTAATACGCCAAAATATCTAAACAGTAATATTTTATTTTATTTTTAATAAATTTATGTTTGAACTCTACTCTCGATTGATACACTTCGCCTCTCTACATTTGCATTTATTTTGACATAACAATCCCAATGCACTGCAATCACACGTTGAGGTGGCACATTTTCCTTTACATTTACAAATATTTGTGTGAGGTCTGCTCCCTTGTGAACTTTCGGGTAGAGCTGGTGTACTATATCTTGCTTTTTTGTTGGCTTCAATTTGCTCATTTGAGGGTCTTTCCTTTCCTGCCAAATACTGTTCGACAAGGGATTGTGGTTCAGGAGGTAGCATCATATCTGCATGTGCTTTGGCCTTCTTCAAAGTCGAGTACTGGCTTCTTAGTTTTACAACTTCATTCAATATTAACTGCACATATCCTAAATGGGATGATTATATATTATTTTTACTAAACTATGACTAAACTGTGACTAAAATGTTTAGCCTTTTGATTATACTACTATTTTTTTATATCATGAAATTTTCTTGCTTTATTTGTTATTGAATGATATCATTCCTACCATAGGTGGGTTTTTTCTTCTAAGGTTTTGCCACAGCTTTTTCTTTTTTGAAAGATTTTGGATAGGTAATTGCTCATCTCAAGTTTCCATCTGCAGTTTTTGCTTGTGGTCTGTTGCTGTTCTCATTGTGGTGCAAGTTTGAACAGTACAGTCTATCTTGATACAGAAGTTGAAAAATCCCAATTTATGATAACTTTCTTCAATATTGAAATGTCCATATTTTATCCTCTTTAAGATATTTTAATTGCATTGCAAATTTTAAGTGGATTTTTGAATAACATACCTTGCACTCAATGAGTGATATGAATGATGAGCATTCTTTGAGGCAAGCATATTATCCAAAGCATGTTTGGCTTCTAAGCCTGATGTCTGGTGATACTTGGATAACTTTTGAATTTCTGCAATTAGTCAAGGCCTTTTCAACATCTCCTCTAATTTTTTGTTAGCAGCTGACCCTGTTGTATAGATGAGTAAAAAAATTTTGAGGCATGAATTAAACTTCTAAATTGTAGTCCATTCTATCTACTCAACCTTTTTTGAGCCAAGCTCTACAATTTTTTCATGAAGGCATTTTGTAAATAGTTTGTGACCATTATGCTCATGAATATTAGCAATGTGATTGAGAATACTGTGCCACCTTTCTTCCCTCTCATCTGAGTTTCACTTGAGTTGCCAACCCAATATAAATGGTTGATAATTGACTGTTCAGTTAATGAAAAATGTATATATATATATATATATATATATATATATATATATATATATATATATATATATATATATAAAGATAATCTCAGTTTTAAATGATTTTTATTGAGCCGTTGCTTCATCAGAATGAGGATATTTATTTACAAGTGCTTTTAGAAGTAATATATATATGTATATATATATTATGTATATATATTATTAATATGTATGTATATATATATATATACAATATGTATCACAATGTGCCCTTCAGGCCATCGTCATAGTGCAATGACAATTCCTGCAGGAACACACACATGCTATACATTTACATGCATGACATGCATACCCCAATCCATGGCTGAATATGTTTGAATTTTTTCTTTTTTGCCACTTTCACAAGTTTCTTTTTTTTCATCTAAAGTATATTCAAGAGTGTTGGAAAAACTTACTTAATAACAGACTTACTTTTCAATATCATAGAAGTTTATATATTTTCGTGGCAGAGATTTTAAATTAAAAATACACATACATAAATATATATACCTTTTGCTCACGCTGTGGTAATGGGATATTTAAATTCCCTTGCTCAAACATAGATACCAAACTGAAATATGATTCCTTGTGCTTCACATCTCAAGATGTTTGCAAATGCTCGTACCACACACTGCAAAGCGCTGAAGGAAACTTAATAACTCTTATCTTTGTATTCCTGCACCAGCAATTAATAGTCAGTGCAATAAAAAATGATCGGACGGTGATTATTTTGCAAAGGCTAGACTCAAACAGGGAAGTAATGAGAAGCCTTAATTCCAAATTCCAATGTTGATTACTTCTCCCAAATCGCAATTAAATGAATTAATCCATTGATAAGCCGTTGTCATTTCAATTCAGACACTTCGAGCAACATCGTTGTTGTCGAATGTTTGACGTCAGTCACGTTACCCGTTATTCCCTTGTTGATATTCAATAGTGCAGTTGAAACAATAGCAAACTCATTACTAACATCGTGTAAAGACTTTAAAAACAATAAAAAAGAACAGAAATAGACAGAAAATATACAAAAGATGTACAATAAAAGACAATAGACCCTATATTTGGAAAAAGTGGTAGGTAGGTTTTGTTAACCAGTTAAAAAATTTTCTGATATTTGTTGGTGCTGTTGTTCTATAAATATGGACAGAAAATGAATACAAAAAATACACAAAAACAGAAAAAAAGTTGGCATAATGTTAGGAAGAAATGTAGCAAGGTTTACATTTTGCCCAACTTTTTACACCCGCTATGCGAATATTTTTATGTTCACTGACCGCGAGAACAACAGATTTCCAAAGAAATGAATAATGGTAATCTTTTCAGAATTTCGTTTTAGCCTTGCTAGAATGTTTGGCTTTTTAACACTATAGTGTAGAAAAAAATCACAAAAGAATGTACAAAAATAAGACAGATATGAAACACAAGTAAAGAAGAACAAGACGACAAATACACAGAAATTTAAGTAGTTCGATAATGGTTTCTTATGTTTAGTGGCAAATTTGTCAATACAGTAAATACATTTGTCGATACTATACTCTCCTGATGTTGCTAAAGAAAACTAAAAAATGAAATTTGAATTTGACTAAATGCAAAAGTAGCTAACTGCTAAAAAAGGATCCATGTATATGGAATATAAATCAAACACGAAAGAAAATGCAAAATCAGATGTTGAGAGAGACGTTTTCGCAAGTGATTGTATGTTGTGGTAATTTGCTGGTATCTCGTCAGTTATTTCTCTGTGTAATGTAAATTTTAAAATTTAATAGAAGAACCTGTTGTGTTATGATGATGTAAATACAAACAAGAAAAAAGGAAGTAAATTTAGAGATTTATTTGACTAGACAGATAAATGAATCCATAGTAACATGGAGAAGCTAGAATGACGAGCTTGAAAGTGAAGCATAGACACAAAACCAGTATGAAAACGGTTTGTATAAATATGAATTTTAAATAAAGCGCAATACCAAACACTTTGAGAAGTTCTCACTCTTTCTACGCATTCATTAAAAATACATCTTCATTGTTTTTGAATGAACATTTTCTTAATTGTTAATGTTATAATTAATTTTGATTCACAAAAATTTCTACACAAAATATGGCCAAGCTATTCCACAAAGAAAACCTCCTTGATTACACCAAAAACATTCGCTAATCCTAGCTGGAGTCCACGTGCAATAGCAAAAATGATCATTGATAAAACATTCTTTTGCAAGCCACATATAAGAAGAGGAATCATACTGTTCATAAATGTTGTAAACAGTTTATCTTACGCACAAGATCATATCTAAATGAAAATTAGAGAAAAGCCATAGCTACTTAATGTTAGTGCATGGCTCGAGCACACATTATTGCAAATGGACTGTGAAGATCCTAGCAAGAATCAAGCTCAGCTTTTCCATTTCAACTCGCTCAAAGATCACACATTAAACTATACATAACCTGTATTAAATTAATAATTTTCCAGTAATTAGCCTCATGATGAACAAAGAAGTGGCACAATGTTATATTAACAAATATATCAACTTTTATCTTAAATATAATACATACTGCACAAAATCGGTCATTGGGGCATGGTCCTTTATAAGTAATATACCGTAATCACAATTGATTTTAATGCAAACTAAATTAGTTCCTTTAAATGATTACCCTTTTCAATTTCGACACATCATTTTAGATTGAATAATGCACCAACCTTGCACGAGTCTATAGTACTGCTTTTCTTGTTCTCTATGTATTTGAGAAGATTCTGTGAGATTTCGTGTGATTCATATTCATCATCTAATTTCTCCGCAATCCAACGGCCCACGTCAAGTTCATCACAAAGACCAACTCTACGTAGCATTGCTTTCCCCTCGTCAGAATTAAGTTTGGAATCATTGTCAAGAGCAAACACAGCCAGTTTAAAGTCGCGTTGATGACCGCTTTCTGGTAATCCAATTTTAGTCTTGATGCACTGAATAAAAACAGACAGTGGTAGTTTAAGGGGTCGAACTATGGTCATTTGTGTGATAAATAGTCACTACAAACCAAGGTGTTGTGAGAAATTCACGATTGTAACTTTCATTGTATTCTGCGTACTTATGTTCTCTTAATCAAAGTGAAGGTAAAAACCGTGAAAATAAAACTTCAATTATTTTGGTTGAAGATTTCAAATTTCGGTCGAACAATGCTAAGGTAGAATTCTGCCTTAGGTCCAGTGTGTATTTTTCTTGAGTGCATTACATTAAGACATTTTGTAAAAAGTAAGGTGGTTGTGATCAAAAATTACTGTAGATCTTTCATAAATATATCTTATGCAAACCATACTTCCAATTGACTCTCCACTCTGGCTTTTATTGTCTCCATGCCACAATCACCTCCTTTCCCCATTAATTCAGCAAAGAGTCTATCAGCAAATGTTAGACAAATAAGAACGGGAACATTTTCTTTCTCAAGTATGGAAAGCCATTTTTTCGTTGATTCTGTATGGACTTTCCTAAAACGGCGAGATTTTCATATACTGACATAGAATGCTCACAAGCTCTTACTGCCTTCAGTAATTCAGATAAAATTTTTTTACAAAATGTCGATTTCAAAAGTAGGTAAGTTGAAAAAAGGTGTACATAATATCATTCGTCACCAGGAGGCTTTTTATCAGCTTATTAATTCTATGAATCAAACATGTGTTGAGAAGACACCTTATATGACGGGAATCAAAACAATTTACGGAAATATTTTTGGTTGAAAAAAGTATTTCAAGAAAAGCTTCGTCACCTGTAATCGACAACAAATACGACAATCCGAGTCAAACAAAACAGCAATTCAGCAATTTTCGGAATTGACTCATCACGATCATCAACACCAGGAAAATCAATGACATCCAAACCTTTGATGTGTTCATCCAAGTTATAAATCAAAGGAATTGTGGTACGTCTTTCATCAGTTGTTCCACTCGCTGTCTAACGTAGAAAGATCAATTTTCATGGATGTTCTCAAAACAAATGTTTCAAAAGATCAATATTATGGGGGTATTTTCATGAAGCATATTTTATTTCAGAAAAAGTAACAGAAGTTCTTACCTGTACTTCAAACATGGAGCTGACAAACTTTGATTTCCCTGAATTAACCAGTCCCACAACACCGACTGCGCACTGCTTGGCTAAACTCTCTCTAAGGTAATTGATCATCAATGACCATCTGATCCATCGGGCAATCAGTGGACGGTACTCATATGGCACTAGCGTCAAAGTTTCTTCCTCAAAGTTAGCATTCCATTGTTGAAGAATATTTTCAATTGGAGTGTTGTGAAAAATGTTCCTCTTCTTGCATTGGCGCTCAAGTTGCCGTTCGAGAGAATAACTGATGTAACTCTTGTTGCATGTAACTCCTTTCTTCATGCTACCCACAAGAAAGTTTAACTTTTCGTCGTAGTCAGGAAACTCGAGTTCCTCGGAAGGAAATATGTACTCCCGAAAATCGTTAATGCGACGAGAGAATTCAATGACAATTTTTCCAAACCTTCCAGATGATCTTACCATTTGCTGCAAATAGTTAAACGGCACAATCAACAATGCCCACACAGACAAACCCCTTGAGTTGGCATCGTGTCTGGCAAATTCATCAACGTACTTGTCGTTACCAGCTTGCTCGAGAGGGATGTGAACTTGGGATTGCATGAATTCACCAAGTAGAGCATTGCAAGTCTCAAACTCAATAAGCAAGTCATCTAAAACGTTCAGCATCTCGTTATTCGCGTTACAAAAGGAGCTCTCCACATTTAGTTTTTCACCCAGTTGTTGGAGTCTTTCTTTACCATCGACTAGCAATGTGATTGGAGCTTTACTACAACGAATCTTTGTCTTGCTTTCGCCAAACTTATCCGAAGATGGATAAATCACCTGTAGGTCGGTCTCGCATGCAGGAAAAGTTGTTCTTTTTGCACTTCCTCCGAATCTTGGTCGAGGAACGTCTTCATGAAGAAGAGAAACAAGGAGTGCATTAGTCTTATTCAGTAAGTACTTAATATCACCCCATCGCAACATAGGATTGTGTCGTAGTTCCGTATTTTCTTGAGCAAAAAAAATTAATCTGTTCCGTTTCCATGTGGGCGATTTGCATGAAGTCGGTGTTTTATAAAATCGATTAACGAAAAAATTGTATTTCTCTTCAAAAGATACATCGGAAGGCAATGCTTTCATGCATGAAAGTCCATGACGTATGCGAAAAAAGGCAATTTTAGTGGTTTCATTAAAAAACCAGAGACAGCCAATGTCTTTAGATCGATATTGCCTGCGGAAACTATTTCACAGCAGTCTAACATAACGTTTAAGCTGCTTTCTCCCATAGCATAAAAAAGACTTTCAATTGGCACCACTGATACAGCGTTCTTAAAAAAGTCCTGGATGGATTTCATTCTGACAGATCTATCAGCGTCATGACGTTTTTCCAACAGAGCACTGAGATACGCCAATTCAATTATCTCGCTGGGACGATGCTTTGCAAGTTGCTGTTGCCTTTTTGTGACTGTGTACGTCTAAAAAGCAATTATGAATTGAAATATAAAGTTAAAATTGGTTTTAGGAAATCAACATAACCTTTTTACTAACCGTGGTTTTTGCTTTAACCTGGAATGCAGGGAGATGTTTGCTGCATTGAAAATGCGTTCTCAAACGAACGTTAACTTGATCTTCGTGGCAAATGCTCTTTACTTTGATTGTTGTCTGAATTTCTGATCCAGAAGATTTCATAACGTCTACAGGTAGATTCCTACCAGGAAATTCGACATTCTCGATGGATAACTGATACACGAACCACATCTCATTCCCAAATACTTTGATGATGACCTCCTCACCGATATTTTCGAAACGAACGCCAGTTACGTCGGGGACAATTTTATTTGATGCTGTGGCCCATTTCGTATTTTCTTTGAATGGCTTGAGATCAGGAAGACTTTGAAGCAAAGCCAGCTCAACCTCGTGGATATATCTCTCAAAACTATGCTGAGAATACAAATGTGATACAAATATTAAAATAACAACATAATGACAATTCCCATTCCATGTGGGCAGTGCTTGAGTCGTATCATTCGGATATGTATAAAATACACTCAGAGGCGTAACTAGAACGTTAATTGGGGGTATATTCATCTACTCAGTTTTACCATACTTTTCAATTCACTTTCAAAATAAATCAGTAGGGCACAACGGAATATATGAATTTGCAATTAACGTTCTAGTTTCGCCTCTGAAGACTCTTACATTAACGACGTATTGCCGACCTAATTCAGCCAATGAGTGATCAATTATTTTTAGTTGATTGACAGCTTTAGATGCAGGCAAAATTGTATATTTTACATCCTTTAAAGAATTGTCAATAATGCAATATGATCCAAAGATGTCCAAACGGCGGAATGTGATGAAGCTGTTCGCCATCGGATTGGAGTCTTCAAAAAAATCAAGAATCATTTTACCTAAATCCATCCAAATTGCCTAGGAAAAGTAGAAACATTGTGGGTGAAAAGAAAGTATTACAGTCGACATTCCCGAGCCCATCCTTGCACCTTATATGATAGACAGCTAGGTCATAAGAAGAAATTATACATAGATATGGGGACGTAACAAGCGGGGATAGAAGTGGGTGAGGTAGTGGCATGACAACTCCAATTTATGAAAAACGGTCCGTAAAAAATTTTATAAGATTGATGGTCGTCAACGTTTTGAACAAAAGCAAAAAACACTTGTTTAATTCATGCAAGAACGAAAAGAGAAAATAGAAGTTGGACCAGCAATGTTGTACGGTATAGGGACATCAAGCAAGACAAAAGACCAAAATTTGGGTTAAAGAGATAAAGATGCCAAGACTCTTTGACGGGGAAAAAGAAGACACAAGTAATTAAACTCGATTTTTACCAAAAAACTGAGAATTCATTTTAAGCATAATATCTCGAGACGTATAACGAGACAATTGGGAAAAACAAAAAAAGGGTGGTAGGGAGTGGGGGGTTTTATTCATCTGTGTGTGACATGCTGCATTAAGTTCCTTGTAATCCCATACAAAAAAATTCAATGGCTGCGCGAAAACATGGTGACGATAAAATATTTTATATACCTTTATGTTTTGTTGAATGATTTTCAACGGTTTCTCTGTTATTTTCTTTACTAAATTCCACAGCTCGTTCTAAATGAGATTTATTCAGCAACAAGAATATACCAATTATTTGATAACTGTAAAATATACTTGTATTGCCAATAGTTCGACAAAAAGAAGAGGCGTTTTAATTTTTTACATAATTATTTTCACAATCAAGTCGGTCCTGAGAAACAGTAAACGAAATCTTAAACCGCTAGAGAATGCCAACATAATACTTGTAGTTTACCTCCAAATATGAACCGTTTAATGCCCCGAATAGCTTTGGAATAAAATCACCCTTTTGAACGATATGATAAAAGCATTCCTTTGCTCCAGGTATTGACTCGACATAATCCTTGAATGTACTGTCCGCCAATGGCATAAGACCAAACGTAATACATTTGAGGTGATCTTTCAAATACGATTCACCTTGCTCTTTGAATTTTTCCAGCAAAAAGATCAGAACTAAAGATGCGATGGCTCCACCACTTGAGTGCCCTTAATGAGGAATAAGCAAATCACGTGTAATGCATTTTCGCTATATTGGACGTTCAGTGCGAGTCAGCCCGCAAAATTTAGTCTTGCTAAGCAAATTTAAGATCATTAAGACCATTGTGCCTGCACAGTGCACAGAGCAGGCCTAATAAGCAGGCAGGTTACGCCATTGGTAAAACAGTATTTTATTCTACATGAATGTGTATGTTATATTAATTTTTCCACGATGCTCTAAATAGTTTTTCCATTTTTTTTGTTACGACAAGGAAGCAATTTAAAACATACAGGTATCTGCGAAATGCAGAAATATGCAACGCCTACGCATGTGTTGCGAATAATTCAAGGTAAAACACAAATAAAAGCCCTTTCTCAAGACTGGATCTATGCTCCGAAGCCCAAATTAATGGTCTTTATTTGTATGTATACATTTCGCACATTTACCTGAAAAAATAATTCGTTTCTGTTGCATGAATGCTCTTGCGAAATACTTCAGAGGATTTTTCAGATTCCTTTTTCACATCTTCAAAAAGATAAATATAATATGAGTACATGAAATGCCGTTCACGTAAAAAAAAAACGAAACATTTCATCTTTGCTTCAAAATCATTTGTAAAATATTCGTGTAAAGTTACTTCTTATTTATGCGCCTGCACAAAAGAGTCTTATTCGTCATCTGTTGCTGCACCGATAGAAAACATAATATCTCGACGGTTTTTTTACCGTTAGCAATGATACAGTTAAACTTCAATCACCCTGACTTACATGAATAAATTCCTCCTCGATGGGTATTTTGAATTCTGGGGATTGTATACGACGACAATCCTTTGAAGCTGACGTAGATAACATCACCACACTCCGCTATCACATATTTAGGAACGTCCTCGTTTTCATAAGAAACATAAACATTGCTAAGTAAATGTTCCTTGTCCAATTCTTCAAGGTCGTGCATTCTATATTCGGGGTCTTTGCAATTGTACGCGAGATGAACACAAAGTAAAGAATGGTGAATGTGGATAGGATCGAAAAGAGCTGTTCTAGCTATCATGGTTTCGAGATCAGATAAAGGTTCTGCTTCTTCTTCATTCTTAGCTACAAGGGTCTTTTTCAAACTCAGTATATTTTTTTCGATCTGTTTCTTGATTTCGACAAGGGAAGACTTAAACATTTCTTCACCGAAAAGGGATTTGTCCAGCTCAATGTATACATACTCAAGAAACTTGTCGCAGGTGCTTCCATTGATGTGCTTTGCAGCTTCCGTATGCCTCAAAGCAAGGGAATCCTTTAAGGTTTGTTGAAACGCCATCGAAAGCGGTTTGACTTTTTGGTTGAGCTCAGTTTCGTTGCTCCAAATGAGCCCAAATTCATTTTCTTTTATCTTTGTCAAAGGCGCGACAAGAGGTTGTATCGCTTTGTTAAATATGTCCTCAAAGATCTTCAGCGCGGTTGGATCAATATCAAGAGGAAGGCAAGCATTCAAATCTTTCTCTTCGCAGAGATCACTTTCATCCATTGTGAAACGATTTGAGGAAACTTTTCAAAACGTGCAAAGTCAGAGAAAGCGTTTTCTAGCCGACAAACTTTTTGCTGTAAGGCAGTAGCTTTTTAGTTAATTCCAACCATGAACACGAAATTTAACTTTCTGCTTAGCTGGGTACTTTTAATTATTCGAGAAAAGAAAGTTTGATAGGTTTCATGCGTAACGACAATGTGAAGGCGTGCTGTGAAGGAATTCGTCTCCTACTTTCAGTATTAAGATCAAATTTTTCCATTTTGCAGTTTTCACAATTTTCCAAAACAACTCAAATAATAGTCCGTTGCCTGTGGCCTCAAAACATTTACTTTCGTAGTCACCATCACGGTGTTAAATTTTATGAACGATAGTCTATAGTTTTCGACATGCTGAATTCGAATTTCTTTGTTCCTACTCACCAAAACCCGCAGTTTTTTAGAATTTTGACGGTGAAGATCGCTCCCGTTTTGCTGTTTAGGCGACCTTTTTACATGAAAATAATTAGTTTTCATTTTCTTTTAATGGTACGCTCTGACACAACCACACAACCAGTTTGTTTTATGGACATAGTAAAGTGTTCAGTTGTAAGCTTCTGTCAGAAGATGCCCAAGCTGTCATAGCTCTTCGAGAACTTGGAGAATATTTTGTCAGCACTAAAGAACTTCACAAGAGTCTGGAGGAGGTAAAATGTAAGATTTACCACTAAATTTCTGGCATTGGCATTAACATGGCTAGGTACAACTTGCCTCCTAATGAAGATTTTCTGGAGAAACACATCAAACGTGCCAATTACCAAGCAGCAATATGGAAATCGTCACTGTGCCCCGCCAAATACGTCCAACCATGGATGGAAAATTGACAAAAATAAGTCTATCTCCATTGAAATTAAATGAGATATGATCACCGCACTGCATAAAACATTCTATCTCCATTGATTGGATAGATGGCAGTTGTGCACCAATCGATGTGCTAAATATTTACAATTGTACGTAAATGCACTGCTGGTTGCTTAAAAAAATAGATGTTCGTGTAAGAAAGCATCCATTTCTTGCACTGAACTCTGTCAATGCCTTTCGTGCTTTAATACAACAGAAGAATAGGAAACAGATGTGTATGGAGTGCTTTTTATGCAAAAATTACGGACGAAGAATTCTCAAGTGACAATAAAGTAAATGAACAGTGAAAATTAACAAGTACCATCACGATTTCACATCTTTCTCGATTGAACCTTGTCTTCGTATTATAACACCTCTTTATTAAATAATTCGTAAATTGATTTGGCCTTGTAGCAAGCTTCAATATTCTGTCAACTTGTATAATCTTTCTTACAAGAAAATTGTGTTTCGCTTTGTTTACCTCTCTAAATACTGTGAGCCCACGACTCGGCTCAAAATAAGAGCGGTATTGCTATACTTTATGTAAAAAGGTCGCCTAAACAACAAAACGGGAGCGATCTTCATCGTCAAAATTCTAAAAAACTGCGGGTTTTGGTGAGTGGGAAAAAATAAATTCCAATTCAGTATGTCGAAAACTATAGAATACCGCTCATAAAACTTAGCACCGCGATGGTGGCTACGAAACTTTATTTCTAAGGACATTTTGAGGCCACAGGCAACGGACTATAAAACCGAATAAGTAAATAAGAGAAACCATAAAAATATACCAAACAAATCCATCAAAATTGAAGACTATAAAAATTATTAACAAAATTTTTATTCGCTCGCCTATAAACAACTTTCCTGACTTCCCAATGAACTATTTAGTTCTTAGTTCAATGACAACTAATGAAACGCACAATGCAAACAAACGAATACCTATTCCACTGTTAACTCAACTGCATGGACGAGCCGGGAAGTTATGAAATAAGAAACAAAAAAATTACTTATTGAATTCGCTTACGGATAGTGTCTTGGCAAATTGCAAAGCCATCGATAAATAAAATCAAAAACGATTGTTTTGTTTTCTTTAATTTTAATGCTGTTTATCATTCGCGGTAAAACTTGGATGCATTTTGTCACTGGTGAGAAAAATGATATAAGCAACCAGAATGCAGATACGACGTTTTTCACTAGTGAAGAAAATGATATATACAATCAGGTCCTCGGAAATTTTAGGCATATCATTTTTACTTCACCGCTTTGTTGCTCATAAATTTCAATACTCGTATGATAAGACACAATATCACACAAAACAACTTTCGATTATACTATAAATACCAAAATTGGCAAGTTCATAAAAAATAGCTGTAGTATGCATACATAGCAGGTCTTGTTCACTAAACGTGTCTTTACTAAATTAACTTTACTGGTCACCACAAACTGCTTTCGTTAGCTACGATCTGACATTTAACATTGTTAACGTGTGGTTAAAAAAAAAGAGTTGACTTTTTTCGTTTGAGCTAAAGCGAGATTTATCATGATATAACTAGGAACAATTCATACATGTGGACAAGTATTAAAAAAAATAAAAGAACAAAAAACTGCCAAAAATGATAATTTTACAATCAAGCATTATACAAACAATACGCCTACTAAACTTCATTTCTGGGTTTCTTCACAATTTCTTCTTTTTGCTCTTCTCTTGTGCGCTGGAATGAAAATAGGCCAATTTTAACAAAATAAACTCAAACATGAAGAATGGAATTTAAAGAAAAATATACATTATTCGGTGGATTCTTAACAAAAAAATGACAAGCAAACATAAAAATGCCCAAGAAAAAAATAAATGATTGTAAAAATTGATCTCTCCAAACTTGTGAAAAAGACCTATTGAATAAATTGGTATAAACGCATTGGCCGTTTATGGCAGCATGCTGCTACAGCGAAGTTAGCAGACCACAGCATTTTCATTATTTACCAACACGGCAACACTGCATATATCCGTTAAGGTGAAGTAAACACGATGAGTTTATCGTGGTGCTGTGCATTAAGCTACATGTTGTTGTTTATATATATGTACAACTCCGATGTGTTACACAAAGAAAGATATTCCAAATAACATTTAAAATTACTTTGCATGAATGCGACTTTAACGTGCTGCTTTTCTTTTCCCGTAAGTATTTGAGGAGATTTTGTGAGAGATCTTGTGATTCGTATTGATCTTCTAATTTCGCTGCAATCCAATGACCCACGTATAATTCATCACTAAGACCAACTTGACGTAACTTTTCTTTCCCCTCGTCAGAATTGAGTTTGGAATCGTTGTTAAAAGCCAACACAGCTAGTGTAAAGTCACGCTGATGACTTTTTTCTGACGACCCAATTTTGCTTTTGATTTTCTAAATAGAAGCAATCAATTTTCACTATCTTGCGTCAAAAAAGGCAAGGAATCATTTTCCTACCTCCAGTTCACGATGCATTTCAGCTCTTATTGTGGTTATATTATTATCACAATTGTCTCCCCATAGTTCGGCAAAAAGTTTGTCAGCAAATGTAAGGCAAACAAGAACAGGAACGTTTTCTTCCTCAAGTATAGAAAGCCATTGTTTTGTTGATTCTGTATGAGCCTTTCTAAAAATGTTATTGAAAAGTTAATAACATTGCGTAAGTACCATGAGAAGAGAGTTTTTAACCAAACACAGCTCTTTCACAGCATCAAAACAATGATACCTGTAATCGACCACGAACACAACAATCCGAGTTAAACTTAACAACAATTTTGCCATTTCGGGAGTTGACTCATCACGATCATCCACACCAGGAAAATCAACGACGTCCAAACCTTTGATATGTTCATGCAAGTTGTAAATTAACGGAACGGTGGTACGTTTTCGATCGGTTGTCCCAATCACCGTCTGTACAACATCAATAAGAAATGTATTTGAGCCCATAAACAATGGAACTTTGCTGACTTATAAGCACTGCATTACATATACCAGTAATTAGCTTCTAAATAATATACAATTGATTGCGTTGCCAGCCCGCTTATTTAGTACTGCATGCGTTTTTTTTCTGTCCACAGAAATTAACAAAAAAAACACACAGCAGTAGAATTAGCATAGTGATCGGGCATTGAAATTTTACAATAGGTTAATTTCTTGAAGGTTTTAATTTTTTTTTGTATATTATATGCTTTAAACCATCGAGAATGCTCATGTTCAATCAAAGGCATTTTTTAATGCGGAGAGCAGTGAGCCAAAGGTTGACTTGCTAATAATGTAGAAGTAGAAGTGGCGTAGGAACAGATTTAAATTAGGGTGCTGAAATCGATGATTAGTTGACAAAACCTTTATTCCTTTAAGCTTTAAGGGGCTATGTAGTTTTCAAATATTCCAGAGCCTTGTACAAACGCAGCACTTGGAGCAAGTTGTGAAGTCTTTATTATTTAGTTGTACTTCATAACGATACACATCGTACAAGCAATGCAACAATCAAGTATGTCACAATCAACATTTTACACAAAACAAAATTTAACTGACAACCGGAACGATTGGGTTCATTGTCAGCATCGTATTATTGTCAGCATCGTATTCTAGTACAATGTCAGTAGTTAGTAGATTTTGGAATGTTAACCTTCATTTTCAGGGTGGGCTAAGCCCCCTCCAATGACCAACTTTAAGAGGGTTCTCCCCCTCTATTTCCTTCTTCACCTATGGTCGATTGATGGTTTGACAAAAAATCCATTTTTTCTGTCCATCTTATTAATAAATTATTCTACTTGCATCAAGAAATTTAAGAAATTTTAAGGCAGAGCTTAAGACGCTGGAGTCAGGGCTGTAGTAGATAATTGAGGGGGACTCAAATTCATTATAACATGCATGTGTGATTATGACCCCCCCAGTTATATAGATAGTACTATACAGCCATGACTGGAGAGGGACAAGATGGGCTCAAAAGCTCTTTCCCCTAGTCTATAGGTAAACTTCGCTCACAAAACAACATTGTGCAGTTTGTGCTTCACTTTGCAAATGAAAGTTTTGTTTTAAGGCCTCTTCTTTCGTTTTTCTTTTTCCTTATAACATGCGCTACACAAAACTGCCTGCTTTAACGATCAAATAATTTAAAACAACTATCTTTTCACTTTTAGCATTATTCTTACGCATTGTTAAATGACTAATGGGAATAGCTTTTCAATCAAACAGCGTCGTGAACATACCTTGACGGGGAAAATAGAACTGACGAGCTTTGACTTTCCTGAATTAACAAGTCCCACAACACCGATAGCAGTTTGACTGGCCAAAGTCTCTCGAACATTGTTGATCATCAAGGACCATCTGATCCATCGTGCCACTAGTTGCCGATACTCATCTGGCACTAGCATCAAAGTTTCTTCCTCAAAGTTAGCATTCCATTGTTGGAGGATATCGCTAACGGGTGTGTTATGATCAATGTTCCTTTTTTTGCATTGGTCTTGCAGCTGTCGCTCGAGAGAATAACTGATATACCTTTCGTTGTATATAACTCCTTCCTTCATGCTACCAACAAGAAATTTTAACTTTTGGTCGTAGTCAGGAAATTGGCACTCTCTGCTTGGAAATACATACTCCAAGCAATTGTCCGCGTGGCGAGTGAATTCGATAGCTAATTGACCAAACTTTTTGGACAAGTCAGTGATGTTATTCAAATACTTAAACGGTGTAGTAAGCAATCCCCACACCGAAAGTCCCAATGTATTGGCAATGTTGACTTTTTCGTCCACATATTTATTTTTGTTTTCTTTCACTAGTGGGACTTTTACCTGTGATTGCATGAAGGCGACAAGCAGAGTACTACATGTTTCAAACTCTCTGCGTAAGCCATTTAAAACCGTAAGCATCTTGTTATTCAAACTGCTGCAGCCAACTTTAGAGGAAGAGCCTGAAGTCGGCTCGGCAATCTGTTCTTCGCTCAACTGTTGGAGCTTTTCTTTTCCATCTATCAATAATGTCATCGGAGCTTGGGGACAACGAAATGTGCCCATTTCACCTTCAACATAAGCACCAGTAGATGGATAAATCATCTGAAGATTAGTTTCACCAACAGGCACAAGAACATTTTTTATAGCTCTGCCTTCTCTGTTGGAATGTCGTAGGTCATGTAGAAGATCACGAGAAAGTTTGCAAGTTTTTAATAGAATTTCGTTTTCCTCTAATTGTTGTTGTTCCTTTGCTATGCTTGGGATACCCTTAAAACGAGAATGAAAAAGAAAATCTTCTAGTGCTTTCATGGAAACTTTGGATAAAGCCAGTGTCCCTGGCTTGATGTCACTGGCGAGTAATAATTTACAGCAATCGCACGTTGTTCATTTCAATACTTTCTCCAATTGCGCAATTTCAACTGGTTGACCGTGAGGTAGACTGATGCATGCTCATTGATGAGATACAATTCTCACTAGGATATTGGTTGGTCTGTCTTCAGACTCCATCTCGGATTTCAACAAATGCGCCCAACGGTTATTTGACATCAGTCAAATATTTTCAGTCTGAACTTCTCAAAGAAACTGAACATTTTTTTCATTAAAGCTTACACGAACTATTCATTTGAGCCTAGTGGAATGATAAACAGTCTCGAACAATTAGTAATCCTGACTTGTCTTCAAATGTTTATGAGTTGTGCCTATAAAGTATTCAGTAACGAAAAGATCTCAAATGTTTGGCCTTCAAACACCCAAACGTATTCCAAACGTTGAATTTTGAATTGAAAAGAGAATAAGTAGCAGTTATAACAATAGCTAAGAATAGCAGCAAAATACAAAGGTTCTGTCAAAATATAGCTATAAATTCATCCAGACGTTTTGCACAAAAATTAAAACACTCAATTGATTTTTTGGGATGAATGGTTAACGTCACCACTAGCTAATTAAGTTTCGTTTTTCTCCTTTAAAATATCTTTTCTGGTAATTATCTACTTACGTTTATCAAATATTGCCGATGAAGCTCAGAGGCACTAGCAGTATCACAAATTCTAAAAAAATTTTCAGCATTCGACGCAGGTAGTATTGTGTACTTTGAGTCCAAAGAAGTGTCCAAAATGTAATAAGACCCAAAAATGTTGAATCGATTTACGACACTGAGTTCATAAGTTCTGCCGTCAATAACTTTGTCCATTATTGATTTACAATTATTATAAATGTCGTCACTCTACAAACATAGTAAAGTTCAAACTCATAAATAAACCAAAAGTTCGTATTTAATAAGGTAATTAACTAAACATCATATTGATAAAAGTGGACGATAAAAAATAATTGCTACGGTGTAATACAATGTACGTATTGGTTTAAATAAAGGTTATTATGTAAGATTGCAGTGGCGAAACATTTGGAGGCAAAGACGTATTAAAAAAACAACTAGGTTGTAAAATTATAGATAATAGATTGACCGTTTCTCCAATTCAAGGCCGTTTCTATGATAATCAAACTGATGTTACCTGAGTTTGTATAGTCTTTAAAGGTAGATTGATAATTTTCTTTACAACCTCCCATAGTATCTTCTACAAAAGGAAAATTATTTATTTTTTATTTATTTGCCATTATTTAAACACGGTGACAAGTACTTTGAATTTAAAACTAAGCAGCTTTAATTTATTTTGCTCGTTGCTGCTCACTGTAACTTACACCCTAGATCCGGTACTGCAAGGGGAAATACGTTACGGTGAATTAATGCCTGTACAAAACTCACTCACAATTCCAAGACGGAATTTTCATGGCACTGATTGCTTGATTTAAATATATTCGCAAAATCCTTACCAACGATGGAAAATGATTTTGCCATTAATTAGAGAGCGCAATTTTTATGTTGCACCCAGTGAGTGTGGGTGAGCTTTTACTTCAAGTGTGTTTTAAAACTTTTAATCTCATGGAGAAAACACTGCAATCTAATATAGAGACGAGCTACACCTTTTGCAAGGACAAGAGTAAATATTCTACGAAAACTAGACTTAAATATAGACTTAATTATATATAAGTTACATTGCACTAATTGAAGCTTGCTCCAAAGTCTCATTTAAGTATAACGTTCAGTGCCTTTATACATAGAAGCGATTAAACTTTTGATGTAAATTATGCCTATTTCGTATTTACCATCATTCAACATGCCTAAAGAAATTCGCATGAGGATAGTAAATTGGTTGTGGAATATTTTTGAACACGCATGCTCCGCCAAAAAGTGATTTGTCTCATAAAGAGTGGAAGGTTTTTTCCAAAAACAGAAAAATGCACATGATTAACTCTGAAAATTTAAAGTCGAAAGTCACACAAAAGTAATATGACAGTATAAAATGGTATCATCATAAAATCAAGCATGTTTCAAATTTGGTAGTGTGATAATGATCTGGTAGTGTAATATGATCAACAAGAGAGCATGCAGATGCATTTCAATACTTACTTCCACTATTGCGCCATTGACGGCTCCAAACAGTTTGGGAATTATATCATTTTTTTGAACGATGTGAACGAAACACTCGTTTGCCCCATTTATCGACTCCACGTATTCCCTAAAGTTGCTGCCCGCTATTGGCATAAGGCCAAACGTAATACATTTTAGGTGATTTTTCAAATATGATTCGCCTTGGTTTTTGAATTTTTCCAGCAAAAATAGCAGCAGGAAAGATGCAATGGCGCCACCAATGGAATGTCCTTGATGGATAAATGTAAGAAACACATTAAAAACGGCAAACTCACTGAATGTCAAAAACCCCCACAAAAATTGAACGTCTTTAGATGCTAACTCACGTGCCAAGAGAGAAAAACTGAAATCAAAATAGCGTCGATGATTTCACTTACCTGAAAATATAATTCGTTTCTTTTGTATTAAAGCGATGGCAAAATATTTCAAAGGGATTTTCTCTGCTTCTTTTTTGACGCCTGAAAAAAGATTTCGTGAGAGCATATAGTCATTACAACATAAAGCGCTTTTGCTTTACAGAAAAAGCCATATATTGAAACTGAAAATGTCGTGTTACTGTAGTTCTTTTAAAGTAAATGGTTTGAACCTGGGAGTATCGTTACATGTTTGTAAATGTAGATCGTCCAGGTTGGCATAGTCCTGAGAAGGACTGTTTTTGTTGTTGTTGACTGACGTTTCGACAACCTTAGCGGTAGTCATCCTCAGAGTCCAAGTTTGACGATCTAGATTTACAAACATGTAGTTCTTTTCTACAGTAGTCTGAGCGAAGTATATGACTGTACATATGTCCCACGCACGTCTAGTTAAGTTAACGCAAGTTCAAATACTGCAGAAATCATAACGCTGGATCACATCATGCATACTAGTCAAATTAAAATGTCTTAAAACTAAAAAATAACGCAAAGACTTAAAGTTCTTACTCGAAAGGATTTCACCTCGATATGTGGATTCAGCACCAGGTGAAGTTAACGACGACAAACCGTTAAAGCTTACATAGATAACATTACCACATTCTGCCATCACATATTTAGGAACGTCCATGTTTTCATATGAAACATAAACATTGCTAAGTAAATGTTTTTTCTCTATTTCTTCAAGGTCCTTCATTCTGTTTTCAGGGTTTTTACAATCGCGAGCAAGTTGACAACACAGCAATGCATGGTGGATGTGAATAGGATGAAACAGATCTGTTTCATCGATCCAGTCATCCTGGACTGACTCTGACGGTGGCTCTTCTGTATGTTTCTCTTCGAGTTCATCTTTTAAACGAAGTATCTTTCTAACAATCTGTTCCTTGATGTCATCAAGAAGACACCTGAACAAGTCTTCACCGAGAAGTTGATTGAATTTGTCGTCTAAATACGCTAAAAACAAGTCGCAGGTGCTTCCTTCGATGTGCTTTGCTACTTCTGCGTGGCTAGAGACGAGGGAATCTTTTATGGCTTTCTGAAAGGAAGCAACAGAAGTCCTGATTTTTTTCTCTCGTTCCATCTCATCCTTCCAAATGAGCCTTTGAGGGTTTTCATTGATCACTTTCAAATCTTCCCGAAAATCCTGTTTGGCTTTGTTGTATATATCATCAAATATGGCGCAAGCACCTTTATTAATATCAAGATTGAGGCCACAAGTCGAATCGTCGTTCACGTCTGACATGTCTTCATCCATTGTAATGTTTAGTAATAACAGAATACAGTATAAACTTCCTCCGGATTGTTTTAAAATTATTTTATTAAGCTTTCGACTGGTTCCTTCGAGCCTTCGTCAGAATGAGGTAAATAACTGTTTACACGTGCTTTTAGCTTGTAGACGCCTAGAGCGTCTAATTGGATTAGTGGGTAGATTAATGTGATTGGATGGGGTGAAATGCGTTGCCATGGGTTTTGGTGTATTGTGAATATGATCGGTGTTAATACCCTGTGGGCTTGATAGCTCAACAGGTAGAGCGGCGAACTAATATCCCGAAGGTGCGAGTTCAAATCTCGTCCAAGTCACATGTTTTTTTCATGTGCATATTAAAAACCGTGTTAGGATTAATATATAATATATATGTTATAGTTATAAAGCGGAAATATCGACTAGTTATGAATAATTATTTACAGTTGAATGAGGTGTTATATAAAGTTTGTGTTAGGTTTTATCACAAAAAAAAAAAAATTACAAAGAAAATGAAAAATATCTGATAAGGTAGTAATAGCTATTTACAGGTCAAAAATAGTGTTAAGATGTTATATTTGTTTGTTGAGGTTAGGTTTACGCTTCTTGATATAAAGGGCTTCTTTGAGTATAAGGGCGAAAGGAGTGTGAGCGGTGTCTAAGATACGGAAACAGGATTGTGTGTAATTGTTTTTGCAGTGTGGTGACGAGAGTAAGTGCCTGAATATGTGTGAGTTTTTGTCCGTGGTTGTGTGTTCTTTAATCCGTGTGGAAAGGTGGCGGGTGGTCTCCCCAATGTAACTGGAATTATATCCAGCACAAGAAAATTCATAAACCACGTTGGATCTTTGCATCGCGGGAATAGGATCTTTGAAGCTAAAGTGATTTTTGATTTTAAAAGATGAAAAGTTTGATGTCTAAGTCTGTGCAGTAGCGTTTTATTAAGTTGTGTCATTTCCGTTCCGTGATTTGTGAAATGTACCCAATGTAGGGTAGTTTGAAGAAGTAAGTCTCGAGTTGGGTAGGTGTGGGTTCGTTTCTGGTGTTTATTTTGTTTGTGTTTTTGTCGTGGTCATATGCACTTAGCGTCTACAAGATAAAAGCACGTGTAAATTGTTAATTTCCTTATTCTGCTGAAGGCTCGAAGCAACGAGTCGAAAGCTCAATAAAATAATTTTTAAAACAATTCGGAGAAACTTTCATTTTTTATGTATTAAATGCCTGGATTACCAGCAAATTTTTTTAGAAGGCAGCCGTAGCTAAATTCCGTGTATTCAAACACATAACATGAATGCAATAAATACAAACTGTTGCATCAGCACGCAAAAAACAATGTGAATTTAAAAATTATTGGATCGATTTTCTGTTTATAGGACATCACCATTGCAACTTAGACAAATTGAGAACAACATTCGTAAGGTATTCAACAATTCAGTTTAACATGACTGATCTTTGAAATGTTTAAAAGCTGTTACTCCTAACCCAAGGTCACGGTCCTTTATAAAAAATTACCAATCTAATGCGCAAGTCAAAAGACATAAGTATATCTTTTCCATTTCTGTTTTTCATGGATCTTATCTTTTCGTACATACAAGGATACTGAGGGTTGGAGAAACATGCACCATCGCTCAATCAACATGCATGGGCACAACGATGGGCGCGACTAAGAAAATTTCGATGTCCTTTTACTCAAAATACATGATGTTCATAAAAAGTCGTAAACTGACAAGCTCTTTCGCACGTTATCCTAAAAAATTATTACTCTATTGACACTCCTGTTCAAGTATTTTACTCGTACGATTTATTCCATCAAAAGTCGCGCAAACCTAAAACCATACATTCACGACAATCTCTGTGGCTGTTTCAGACATCTGGACAAATTGAGACGATAAGGCGAGTGACAATTACCGCAGCTACGTCACAGTTCAGACCTATGTATTTATGTTCATTCAATGGCTAGTTATCGATATCACAAAACTGACAAAATGTGCGTTTTCGATGGTTTTCTAAGCATATTATTATATAGAGCGACTGTCACATATAGTAATGCACATTCAAAAAAATCGCACAATTATTTTTCCAGCAGAAAACTTGTGCAAAAAAACTCTATATTGGCTCGCATATTGATCTTTCATCAATGCTTTTAAAAGCACAGTTCGTTCGTTATGAAGAAAGACAAAGTCATTTAAAAGAAGTTCGACGTTGAAAAAAACCGATCAGTTCCGCAACGGGCTTTTTGTGTCGGTTTTTTCTTAACAACCTGCTAAGAGAAACTTTTGCTAAATATGCTGTCATTCCACCATAATCTCGCAAAAGAAATTTAGACAAAACAATAATTTTCATAACTCCAATCACATACGATGTATTAAAACTAATTTGATGTACCCAGGCGTTTCACATAGCTTTCGAGCAGTGAGAATAGAGCAACTGATAACTTGGATTGATCCCCCCTCTCCCTCTTTCCCGGTATAATGCTCATGATTATAAAATAAACACTAAATGAAAACTGGGGACTTTTATGCGTGGAAAACTGCCACAAAGACGAAAAGCTTTTAACTTGAGATAAATTGGAAGTTAACTTCAGGCAAACTGTTGGTGAGGAGAACATGCACACTTCATGCAAAGCCTTGGCGGAAGAAAGCATGCACTAAAGCTGTTCGAAATCAAGTTCTTCGAAAGGCGTGTTATGCATATGATGAATTTCAACTTTGCATTAGTAAATTTCGTCATACAGGAACATGAAGTTTTATGTTAATACTAACTTTACACGAAACTTTATGAAAGTCAATTAATGTAAGAAAGATTCCAGGACTAAAATCTTTCCAACTGAATACTTCAATAGGTAGGTACAACCAATCGCCTACCTTTATTTAGTCTATGCAATTGCCTTCAGCCTTGAGTTCATCCTTCAATTTCTTCAGCTCCAAGTAAAACTGTAATTTATCTGATTTTCTAGGATAGATCATCGTTCGTGCGGACGACGAAGGCATCACATAGATTGCCTACATATCGAACAAACCATAAAAATATTTCAAATTGCATTTCTAGGACAGCTTACGTCTCGCTAAGGGCATAGAAAACGGGGATGGACGTGGAACACGTTCTAAAATAATCAAATTTAATGGTCGCCCCCCCCCCAAATAATTTGCCACAGATATACTATTACAAGTACTTTAGTAGTTTTAAGTAAAATACTTGCTATATTATGTTGTCATGTTACATTGATTGATACAGTTTGATATATGTAAACTAAAGTTGTAAGCAGTGTGACTTTTTTATTGTATTTACTATGTATAATTGTTGCCCTCTACCACCAATGATGCCAGGATGTGCCCCTATAAAAATTATTTCTTTCCTACGCCACCCGCTCGTGTTGACTTCCTTAAGATGTAGCTATTCGTGAAAAAAGTCTTGTGAAGGCTTAGGCTTTTGTTATTCCAGTCATAAATGGAGCAATTAAACCCATGACTTACGGAACTCGTTCCAGGCACTCGCTCTTTTTGCAGACCAAG